ATTGAAAAGCCGAAATTTTGATAAATCGAAAAGTGTGGAAATCGAAAAATCGGGAAACCGAGAGGTTGAAAACTCGGAGAGTCGGAAAACAAGAAATAGAAAAACTAAGAGAACGAAGACTTGAGAAATCGGGAAACTCCAAAGCCGAAAGACTGAAAAATCGGAAAAGCGAAAAATCAAGAAATCGAAAACATAAAATCGAAAAATCGAAAAATTGGGGATCAAAAAAGAAAAAATCCGGAAATCAAGAAACGGGAGATCGAAAATAAAAGTCGAAAAATCCAATAATCCAGCAATATAAAAGTCGACAAACGGAAAAGACGAAAAGTTTTAAAGTCAAAAATTTGAAAAACGGGAAATCGAAAAATTGAAAAACCGAAAACTCGAGACAAAAATTTTAAGATAGGGAAATCCAGTCGAAAAGTCAAAAAACCGGAAAATCGAGAGATCGTAAACTCGGAAAATCGAAAAATAGAAAAGTTGGAAAATCTGGATTTCGAAGAAAAGTGGAAAATTTGAAAAATCGAGGCATCAAAAACTTGAAAAATCGAGAAATAAAAACTCGGAAAGTCGAAAAATTGAAAAATGGAGCAATCGGAAAACCAAAAAGTCAAAAAATGAGAAAATGGAAAATCTAGAAATTGGGAAATCCAGAAATCAAAAACATGAGAAATTAAAAAATCGAAAATTGGGAAATCGGGAAATGAAAAGCCGAAAAATTAAGAAATCGGGAAATCGAAAATTCAAAAGTGAAAACTCGGGAAATCGAGAAAATGAGAAACAGAAAAATTATGAAATCGAAAACACAAAATTGAAAAATCGAAAAATTGAGACATCAAAAACATCTAAAAATTGAAAAATCGAGAAACTGGAAAATCCAAAAATCCAGGAATCGATAACACGAAAAATCGAAAAATTGGGGCATCGAAAAACCAAGAAATTGAGAAAGAAAAACTGGAAAATCGGGAAATGAAAAGCCGAAAAATTGAAAACTCGGGAAATCGAAAATCTAAAAACAGAAAACTCGAAAAATCGAGAAAATAAGAAACAGAAAAATATGGAAGTCGGAAAACCGAAAATTCAAAAAATTAAAAAACTGAAATGTCGAAAAATCGCAATAGCGAAAAATCAGAAAACTTAAATATCTACAAATTCAAAAATTGAGATATCTGAAAATAGAAAAGTCAAGAAATCTAAAGTCGGAAAATTAAGAAAATTCGGAAAGCCCAAAAATTCAGAAATTGAAAATTCGGTAAGTCGAAAAATCGGGAAATCCAAGAAAAATGGAAAATTTTAAAAATTGGAAGAACGAAATTTTGATAAATCGAAAAGTGTGGAAATCAAAAAATCGGAAAGCTGGAAAGTCGAAAAGTTGTCAAATCGAAAAATTGAAAAATCGGAAAACTGAAAAATCAGTGTCAAAATATCGAAAATTAAAAACTTAAATATATAAAAATTGAAAAAGCAAAAATCAGAAAATCAAGAAATCGAAAATAAAAGTCGAAAAATCCAGAAATCAATTAATATAAAAGTCGGAAACCGAAAAACTTGAAAAGCAAAAAAAAATTTGGAAAACGGGAAATTCAGAAATCGAAAAGTCAAGAAATCGAAAACATAAAATCGAAAAATTGGGACATCAAAAAAAGGAAAAATCCGGAAATTAAAATTAAAAACTATAAATTGAGAAATCAAAACGTTTTAAAGTCGAAATTTGAAAAGCGCGAAAACGAAAAGCTGAAAAATTGAAAAAGCGAAAACTCGAGACAAAAAAATTTTAAGATCAGGAAATCCAGTCGAAAAGTCATAAAATTGGAAAATCAAGAATTCGAGAGATCGGAAAGTCGGAAAATAGAAAAATGGAAACAACGGAAACTCGAAAAATGGAAAAGTCGGAAAATCTGGCAATCGAAGAAAACCGCAAAATTTGAAAAATTGAAAAATCGAGGTATCAAAATCTCTAAAAATCGGGAAGTCAAAAAATTGAAAAATGGAGCAATCGAAAAACCAAAAAGCCAAAAACCGAGAAATTGAAAGAAAACAATATGAAAATCAAAAAAATTAAACAGTTAAAAATTGAAAAATCGAGAAATTGGGAAATCCAAAAATCCAGGAATCGAAAAAATAAAAAAAAATGGAAGATTCAAAAATTGGGACATCGAAAGACCAGAAATCGGAAAATCAGAAAATCGAAAGATCCATAAGTTGAAATATCGAAAAATTTGGAAATAGGGAAATCTAAATTCAAAAAATCGAATACTGTGATAATTGAGAGAATGAAAATAGAAAAATAAGGGAATCGAGAAGCCGAAAAGTCGAAAAAGCAAAAAAATCGGTAAGCCGAAAAGTAAAAATCGGGAATTCTAAAAAAAAATGGGAAATTGAAAAATTGAAAAACCGAAATTAGGATAAATCGAAAAATTGAAACTGAAAGTTCAAAAAATCGAAATACCAAAATACAGAAATCGAGGATTTAAGAGAACAAAAAATTGAGAAATCGGGAAACTCCAAAGTCGGAAAATTGAAAAATCGGGAAACTAAAAAATCGCAGTGTGGAAAAACCGAAAATTAAAAACTTAAATATTACAAAATTGGAAAATCGGAAAAGCGAAAAATCAAGAAATCGAAATAAAAAACTTCAAAAATCAAAAAATTGAGACATCGAAAAAGAGAAATCGGAAATCGAAAATAAAAGTCAAAAAATCCAGAAATCAAATAACATAAAAGTCGGAAAACGGGGAAGTTGCTTAGTCAAAAAATTTGGAAAACGGGAAATCGAAAAATAGAAAAATTAAAAAACCGAAAACTCCAGAACTAAAAAAATTAAATCCGGAAATCGAGAAATCAAGAGATCGAAAAATTGAGAAATCGAAAAATATCGACATTTCCAAAAATTGGAAAATTGAAAATTCGGGAAATATAAAAGCCGAAAAATTGAAAAATCGAAAGATGTGCAAATCGAAAATTTCGACAGCAAAAAAAAATGGACATTTCGAAAAATTAGAAAATTGAAAATTCGGGAAATCGGGGGAAAAAGTCGAAAAATCGCGAAATCCGGTAATAAAAATAACAGAAATCAGAAAATCGAGAAATCAAGAGATCAAAAAATCGATAAATTGAGAAATCGGGAAATCGAATAGTCTAAAAATCGGTAAATTAAAAAATCGTAATGTAAAAAAAAACACTTTAATATCTAAAAATTGAAAAATCGAGAAACCGGGAAATCGAAAAATCAACAAGTATTGAAAAGTCGAAAACTTGGAACTAAAAAAATCGAAAAATCGAAAAATCAAAAATTGAAAATCGGAAAATTGAAAAACGTGGAAATTGAAAATCTAGAAACCCCAGTAATCGAAATTTAGAAAAATTGGAAAATCTAGCATTCAGGATATCGAGAAATTGAGAGAAAAAAGTCAAAAATCGAAAGATTGAATAATTGAGAAATCGAGAAAACATAAAGTCGAAAAATTGAAAAATCGAGAAATCGGGAAATTGAAAAATCAAGAAAAATCGAAAAATTTGGACATCGAGAAATCGAAAAGTCGAAAAATCAAAAACCGAATTATCGAAAAATTGGAAAATCGAAAGATCAAGAAATCCAAAAAATGGAAAATCGGGAAATCGAAAAGCCGAAAAATTGAAAAATCGAAAACCCAAGAAATGAAAAAATACAAAAATCGGGAAACTGGAAATTGAAAAATTGAGAAACCGAAAAACTGAATAGGTATGTAATCTAAAATTCGGAAAATCGAGAAATCGAGAGATCGAAAAACTGAGAAATCTGGAAATCTTAACGTTCGAAAAATTGAGAAATCGAAATGATGAAAATTTGAAAAACCGAAAATTATAAAAACGCAACTTCGAAAAATCAAAAGATTCAAGAAATCAAAATCGTGAAAAATTGGAACATTAAAAAATCGAGTAATCGGCAAATGGAAAAGGCAAAAATGTGGAATTCGAAAAGCGGGAAAATCGAAAGATTAACAAATCCAAAAAGCGGGAAATCGGAAACTCGAAAAGCCCAAAAATTGAAAAAACGAAGATTTGATCAATCGAGAGATCGAAAAATCGGGAAAACGAGAAACAGAAAAATCGAAAAATCGTACTGTTAAAAAAAAAAAAAAACTTCCAAAAATCGGAAAATCCAAAATTCGAAAAATCAAAAATTTTAAAAATCGTGAAATCAAGCAATGGAGCGATCGAAAATTCGAAATATCAAAAAACTGAGAATTTGAAAAATCGAAAACTTGAAAAATGAAATTGGGAAACCGAAAAGCGGAAGAATTGAGATACCGAAAATTGGAGAAATCGGGAAATAGAAAAATTGAAAAATTGAGTCTAAAACTTGAAAAATCGAAAAATTGAGAAACCGAAGAATTGAATAAACGAAAATTCGGGAAAACGAAAAATCCAGAAATCGAAATGTCAAAAAATTGAAACAACGATAAACCGGAAAATCAAAAAAATCGAGAAAACGAGAAATAAAAAAACATAAAAATCGATAAATTGAAAAGTCGGGAAATCAAGGAATTAAAATTCCTTCAAGGAAGAAAACAAATGTGTACAAAATATAAAATAAACTAACAATTAACCTATTTCGTAGAATCCATCATCACGAAAAATCATTTCCGCTCGGAATCCAGTCTATTTTTGCCAGACCCTAAATCCCGCCAATTCCAAACAAACAATCTCCAGTTTTATGCCCCATTCAACATGCCATTAAACCCAGCTTTATCTTACACCCCCAACTAAAAACAAAACCGCCATAAAAACCCATCCGTCTAAATCCGCAATCACATATGAATCCCGCCACCGAAAAAACAAACACCGCCCACTCTCTCCCATCCCGAAATACACCTCAACTTCCACAAACCCGCGACGTTTAAACAATCCTTAATGACCACACGAAACCTTGAATCACTTAGCCCAGAGCTCTCCATTATCCAATAACCCCTTCCTGCCCCCAGATGGCTCTCCTCGTTATCACAATCACGGCCCATGCGCGCCGCCTTATTGATCCGAATAAACGCACAAAATCGAGAAACCTACACAATGCGTTAGCTGCGGCCGCAAAAATGTGGGCAAAAACCACCCTGATGGTAGTGTTTTTGGCGTGGAGCTCGCTGGGTCAGGAACAAAAGACCAAGCAGCACCCAGAACTGCCCAATTTGTAAGTAGTGCAAGAAAAGATTTTTTGGCCAAGTGTCAATGTGCGTTGCAGGGTTCGGAGCTGGGCGCAGAAGTTGGGAGGGGAGCTGCTGAATTTCGGGGAACTGGTCACCAGGAAGACGAGGGTGAATGAGGTAAGGGGTGAATAGTATTTTCGGAATTTTCGAACGGGGTTTTAGAGCTTCAAGAGGCACACGAGCATCAAGGACGAAAATGGGGAGAAGATGCTGAAGGACATACACGAGAAGATATACAACATGACGAGGGAGAAAGTGGAGGCCGTTAAGGTACCACCTATATATTTTCAAAATTATTATTCCATTATTATTATTATTATAAAAAATTGACCACCGGGTCCTAAGACCAAGTAATGATATACATTTTTTATTATCGGAAAATCGGGAAATCGAAAAGTTGAAAAATCGGGATATTAAAAAAACGTAATGTCGAAAAATAAAAAACCTCGAGTATCTAAAAATTGAAAAATCGAGAAACGGGGAAATCGGTAATTAAAAAAAAAATAAAAAATCGAAAAACGGAGAATCGGAAAATCTAAAAAAAATCGAAAAGTAGAATAACTAGAAAATCGGAATATTAAAAAATTAAAAATTCGAAAAATAGAGAAATCGAATAAAGACCGAAACGTCGAGATATTGAGATACCGAAAATTTGAGAAATTGGGGAATAAAAAAATCGAAAGAAAATCGAAAAATTGAAAAATCTAAATCGAGAGACCGAAAAGTAGAAAAATCTAAAAATCGGAAAATCGAGAGATCGAAAAACTGAGATATCCGGAAACCTTAAAATCGAAAAATTGAAAAATCAGGAACCGAAATGTTGAGAAACTGGGGAATTAAAAGATCGGCAATGTCGAAAAATCAAAAAACTTGTATATCTAACTACTGAAAAATCGAGAAACCGGAAATTCTGAAAATCAATAAATCGAAAACATGAAAATGTGGAACATCGGGAAATCGAGAAATCAGAAAATGGACCAGGCGAAAAATCAAACCGGACTTTAAGTGTTTGAAAAATTTTCCATCCAGACGAAAAATTGAGAAATCCGGAAATAAAAACATCGAAAGCATGAAATCGAGAAATCAATAGATCGAAAAATTGAGAAATCGGGAAACCGAGAAATCGAAAAATCAAGGAATCGAAAGCGTGAAAACGGAAAACTCGAACATTTAATACATTGAATAAACGAAAAATCGAGAAATTGAAATATTGAAAATCTGAAAAAATGAAACGCGGAAAAATTGAGAAATCCAAAAATGTGGAAATCGAAAATCTGGAAAGTCGAAACATCGCCAAATTGAAAAACTGGGAATTCGGGAAATAAAAAGCTTAAATATTGAGAAATCAAGAAATCAAAAAATTAAAAAATTGGTAAATCAAAATGTCGAAAAATCGAAAAGTCTGGAAATCGAGAGAACAAAAAACCGAAAAAATGAGAAATAGAAAAATGTCGAAAAATCAAAAAACTAAAAGTTGAGAAATCGAAAAATCGGGAAATCAAGAAATCGAACCGAAATGTTGAGAAACTGAGGAATTAAAAGATCGGCAATGCCGAAAAATCAAAAAACTTGTATATCTAACTACTGAAAAATCGAGAGACCGGAATTTCGGAAAATCAATAAATCGAAAACATGAAAATGTGGAACATCGGGAAATCGAGAAATCGGAAAATGGACCAGGCGAAAAATCAAACCGGACTTTAAGCGTTTGAAGAATTTTCCATCCAGACGAAAAATTGAGAAATCCGGAAATAAAAACATCGAAAGCCTGAATTCGAGAAATTAAGAGATCGAAAAATTGAGAAATCGGGACACCGGGAAATCGAAAAATCAAGGAAACGAAAGCGTGAAAACGGAAAACTCGAAAATTTAATACATTGAATAATCGAAAAATCGAGAAATTGAAATATTGAGAATCTGAAAAAATGAAACGCGGAAAAATTGAAAAATCGGAAACCGAAATGTTGAGAAACTGAGGAATTAAAAGATCGGCAATGTCAAAAATCAAAAAACTTGTATATCTAACTACTGAAAAATCGAGAAACCGGAAATTCGGAAAATCAATAAATCGAAAACATGAAAATGTGGAACATCGGGAAATCGAGAAATCAGAAAATGGACCAGGCGAAAAATCAAACCGGACTTTAAGCGTTTGAAGAATTTTCCATCCAGACGAAAAATTGAGAAATCCGGAAATAAAAACATCGAAAGCATGAAATCGAGAAATCAAGAGATCGAAAAATTGAGAAATCGGGAAACCGGGAAATCGAAAAATCAAGGAATCGAAAGCGTGAAAACTGAAAAATCGAAAATTTAATACATTGAATAATCGAGAAATCGAAAAGCCGAAAAGTCAAAAAATGGAAAAGTCGAAAAATCGAGAAATTAAAATATTGAAAATCTGAAAAAATGAAACGCGGAAAAATTGAGAAATCCAAAAATGTGGAAATCGAAAATCTGGAAAGTCGAAACATCGCCAAATTGAAAAACTGGGAAATCGGGAAATAAAAAGCTTAAATATTGAGAAATCGAGAAATCAAAAAATTGAAAGTTGAGAAATCGAAAACATAACAAATTGAGAAATCGAAAAGTCGGGAAATCAAGAAATCGAAAAATCGAAAACTCGGAAAGTCGAAAAATCGAGAAATCGAAGAAAGACCAAAATGTCGAGATATTGAGATACCGAAAATTTGAGAAATCGGGGAACAAAAAAATCGAAAGAAAATCGAAAAATTGAAAAATCTAAATCGAGAGATCGAAAAGTAGAAAAATCTAAAAATCGGCAAATCGAGAGATCGAAAAACTGAGATATCCGGAAACCTTAAGGTCGGAAAATTGAAAAATCAGGAACCGAAATGTTGAGAAACTGAGGAATTAAAAGATCGGCAATGTCGAAAAATCAAAAAACTTGTATATCTAACTACTGAAAAATCAAGAAACCGGAAATTCGGAAAATCAATAAATCGAAAACATGAAAATGTGGAACATCGGGAAATCGAGAAATCGGAAAATGGACCAGGCGAAAAATCAAACCGGACTTAACTGTTTGAAGAATTTTCCATCCAGACGAAAAATTGAGAAATCCGGAAATAAAAACATCGAAAGCCTGAAATCGAGAAATCAAGAGATCTATAAATTGAGAAATCGGGAAACCGGGAAATCGAAAAATCAAGGAATCGAAAGCGTGAAAACGGAAAACTCGAAAATTTAATACATTGAATAATCGAAAAATCGAGAAATTGAAAAATTGAAAATCTGAAAAAATGAAACGTGGAAAAATTGAGAAATCCAAAAACGTACAAATCGAAAATCTGGAAAGTCGAAACATCGCCAAATTGAAAAACTGGGAATTCGGGAAATAAAAAGCTTAAATATTGAGAAATCGAGAAATCAAAAAATTGAAAAATTGGTAAATCGAATTGTCCAAAAATCGAAAAGTCTGGAAATCGAGAGATCGAAAAATCGAAAAAATGAGAAACAGAAAAATGTCGAAAAATCAAAACACTAAAAGTTGAGAAATCGAAAGCATAACAAATTGAGAAATCGAAAAATCGGGAAATCAAGAAATCGAAAAATCGAAAACTCGAAAAGTCGAAAAATCGAGAAATCGAAGAAAGGCCGAAAAGTCGAAATATTGAGATACCGAAAATTTGAGAAATCGGTGAACAAAAAAATCGAAAGAAAATCGAAAAATTGAAAAATCTAAATCGAGGGACCGAAAAGTAGAAAAATCTAAAAATCGGAAAATCGAGAGATCGAAAAACTGAGATATCCGGAAACCTTAGAATCGGAAAATTGAAAAATCGGGAACCGAAATGTTGCGAAACTGAGGAATTAAAAGATCGGCAATGTCGAAAAATCAAAAAACTTGTATATCTAACTACTGAAAAATCGAGAAACCGGAAATTCGGAAAATCAATAAATCGAAAACATGAAAATGTGGAACATCGGGAAATCGAGAAATCAGAAAATGGACCAGGCGAAAAATCAAACCGGACTTTAAGTGTTTGAAGAATTTTCCATCCAGACGAAAAATTGAGAAATCCGGAAATAAAAACATCGAAAGCATGAAATCGAGAAATCAAGAGATCGATAAATTGAGAAATCGGGAAACCGAGAAATCGAAAAATCAAGGAATCGAAAGCGTGAAAACGGAAAACTCGAACATTTAATACATTGAATAATCGAAAAATCGAGAAATTGAAATATTGAAAATCTGAAAAAATGAAACGCGGAGAAATTGAGAAATCCAAAAATGTGGAAATCGAAAATCTGGAAAGTCGAAACATCGCCAAATTGAAAAACTGGGAAATCGGGAAATAAAAAGCTTAAATATTGAGAAATCGAGAAATTAAAAAATTGAAAAATTGGTAAATCGAAATGTCCAAAAATCGAAAAGTCTGGAAATCGAGAGATCGAAAAATCGAAAAAAATGAGAAACAGAAAAATGTCGAAAAATCAAAACACTAAAAGTTGAGAAATCGAAAGCATAACAAATTGAGAAATCGAAAAATCGGGAAATCAAGAAATCGAAAAATCGAAAACTCGGAAAGTCGAAAAATCGAGAAATCGAAGAAAGACCGAAAAGTCGAGATATTGAGATACCGAAAATTTGAGAAATCGGGGAACAAAAAAATCGAAAGAAAATCGAAAACTTGAAAAATCTAAATCGAGAGACCGAAAAGTAGAAACATCTAAAAATCGGCAAATCGAGAGATCGAAAAACTGAGATATCCGGAAACCTTAAAATCGGAAAATTGAAAAATCGGGAACCGAAATGTTGAGAAACTGAGGAATTAAAAGATCGGCAATGTCGAAAAATCAAAAAACTTGTATATCTAACTACTGAAAAATCGAGAAACCGGAAATTCGGAAAATCAATAAATCGAAAACATGAAAATGTGGAACATCGGGAAATCGAGAACTCGGAAAATGGACCAGGTGAAAAATCAAACCGGACTTTAACTGTTTGAAGAATTTTCCATCCAGACGAAAAATTGAGAAATCCGGAAATAAAAACATCGAAAGCATGAAATCGCGAAATCAAGAGATCGATAAATTGAGAAATCCGGAAACCGGGAAATCGAAAAATCAAGGAATCGAAAGCATGAAAACGGAAAACTCGAACATTTAATACATTGAATAATCGAAAAATCGAGAAATTGAAAAATTGAAAATCTGAAAAAATGAAACGCGGAAAAATTGAGAAATCCAAAAATGTGGAAATCGAAAATCTGGAAAGTCGAAACATCGCCAAATTGAAAAACTGGGAAATCGGGAAATAAAAAGCTTAAATATTGAGAAATCGAGAAATCAAAAAAAAAATTGAAAAATTGGTAAATCGAATTGTCCAAAAATCGAAAAGTCTGGAAATCGAGAGATCGAAAAATCGAAAAAATGAGAAATAGAAAAATGTCGAAAAATCAAAAAACTAAAAGTTGAGAAATCGAAGGCATAACAAATTGAGAAATCGAAAAATCGAAAACTCGGAAAGTCGAAAAATCGAGAAATAGAAAATTTGGAAAGTTGAAAAATCGGGCAATCCAAGAAAACTGGAAAATTTGAAAAACTGAGAATCCGAAATTTTGATAAATCGAAAATTCAGGAAATCGAGAGAGAAAACTTGAAAACTCGAGAAATCGAGAAAATGAAATATCGAAAAAATGAGAAGTCGAAAACTCAAAACACTGAGAGATAGAAAAATATAGACATCTAAAAAGAGAACGAAAAATTGAGAAATCGGAAATCTCGAAAGTCGAAGAATTGAAAAATCGAAAATTAAAAAATTTGAATATTAAAAAACTGTAAAATCGGGAAATCGGAAAATCAAGATATAGAAAACAATAAATTAAAAAATCGACAAATCGAAAAGTCGCGAAATCAGGAAATCGGTAGATCGAAAACAAAAATCGAAAAATCGAGCAATATAAAACGCAAAAAATGGAAAAATCTAAAAGTAGAAAATAGAAAAATTGAGAAACTGAAAAGTTGCGGAAATCGAAAACCTGAAAGTGAAGTCAAAAATTTTGGCAAACGAGATATTGAAAAGTCGAAAAATTGAAATATCGAAAACTCGATAAATGAAAAAATATAAAAATCGACAAATGGAGAAATCAAGAGATCAAAAAATTGAGAAAATGGAAAATCGAAAAATTGTAAATGGAAAAATTGGAAAATCGAACACTTGGAAAATCGAGGAATCGGGAAAGAAAAATCGAAAAACCGGGAAGACGAAAAATGAAGAAAAATTGTGAAGTCGAAAAATTTGTTACATCAAAATTGAAAATAGGAAAATATTGAAATCGAAAACTCAGAAAAACGACGAATCGAGAAAGAAAAATCGAGAAGTTGCAAAATCGATATATCGAAATGTCGAAAAACCGGGAAATTAAAGAATCGAAAGCTTGAAACGTTGAAAAATCGGGAAATCTGAAAACAGAAAAGCCGAAAAATTGAAAAATCGAAAAATCAAAATGTCAAAAAATTGAGAAATCTCTAAACAGAAACATAGAAATCGAGAAATCGAGGAATCAAGAAATCGAAAAATCGAAAATTTGAGAAATAGGGAAATCGAATAGTCATGAAATCGGGAAATTAAAAAAAAGTGATTTCGAAAAATAAAAAATTTTGAGAATCTAACTGAAAATTGAGAAACCGGGAAATCTAAAAATTAAAAAAAAATGAAAAATCGAAAAATTGGGACATCGAAAAATGGAGTAATCAGAAAATCAAAAAAAATCGAAAAGTTGAAAAGTCCTTGAAATCAAGAGAGATCGAACCCAATATCGAAAAATCGGGAAATTGAAAAATCGGTAAATCAAAAAATCAGAATATCGAAAACAGAAGTCAAAAAATCGAGAAATCGAGCAATATAAGAAATTGAAAAATCGAAAAATGTGGAAATCGAAAAGTAGTATAAAGTTGAAAATTTTGAAAAATGGAAAAAATATAAAAATCGAGAAATGGAAAAAAATCAAGAAATCGAAAAATTAAGAAACAGGAAAATCGAAAAATGTGGAAATCAAAAATTTAGACATTTTGAAAAACTGAAAATTGCAAATTCGGGAAATCGAGAGAAAAATCTCCAAAAATCGAGAAATCCGAACACCGGAAATCAAAAAATTGAAAAATCCAAAAATCCGTAAATAGAAACATATATAAATCGAAAAATTAAGAGATCGAAAAATTGAAAAAACGGGAAATCGAAAAGTCGAAAAATCGAAAATTGAAAATTCGTGAAATCAAGAAATCGAGTGATCGTAAAGTCGAAATATCGAAAAATCGAGAAATTGAAAAGTCGGAAAATCAAGAAATCGAAAAGCTAAAAAATTGAAAACACTGAAAAATCGGGAAATTGTGAAGTCGAGCGTTCGAAAAATTGAGAATCCGGGAAACCGGAAAGGCGAAAAATTGAAAAATCAATAAATCCAAAAGTCGAAAATCTTGAAATTAAAAAATTTTAATATCGGAAAATAAAAAAAAACTTGAACATCTAAAAAATGAAAATTCGAGAGATCGGAAAATCAAAAAATCCAAAAAAATTTAAAAGTCGAGAAATTGAAAAATCGGGAAACAGAAATCCAAAAGCCGAAAAATTGAGAAATCGAAAATCTAGAAAGCCAAATAAACCACACTTCGTACAATTGGAAAATCCAAAATTCGGGAAATCGAGAGAGAAAGTCTAAAAATTGAGAAATCGGGAAATAGAAACATATAAATTGAGGAATCAAGAGATCGAAAAATTGGGAAATCCGGAAATAGAAAAGTCAAAAATTGGGAAATTGAAAAGTAGTAATGTCGACAAATAAAAAGAAGCTTTAAAATCTAAAAATTTAAAAGTCGGAAAATTGGGACATCGAGAAATCGGAAAATCGACAAGTCGAAAAGTCGAAAAATTGAAAAATCAAGAAATCGGAAAATCAAAAAAAAATCAACAAAAATTGAAAAGTCGAAAAATTGAGACTTCAAAAAATCGAAAAATTAAAAATTGAAAATTTCAAATTCGGGAAATCGAGAGAAAAATCTCCACAAATCGAGAAATCCGAACACCGGAAAGTCGAAAAATTGAAAAATCCAAAAATCCGTAAATAGAAACATATATAAATCGAAAAATTAAGAGATCGAAAGATTGAAAAAACGGGAAATCGAAAAGTCGAAAATTCGGGAAATTCAAAGTCGTTATGTTGAAAAAAAAATTAAATATCTAATAATTGAAAAATTGGGAAATCGAGAAATCGGAAAATCGACAAGTCGAAAAATCGAAAATTGAAAATTCGTGAAATCAAGAAATCGAGTGATCGTAAAGTCGAAATATCGAAAAATCGAGAAATTGAAAAATCGGAAAATCAAGATCGAAAAGCTGAAAAATTGAAAAACTGAAAAATCGGGAAACTGGGAAATCGAGCGTTCGAAAAATTAAGAAATCGGGAAACCGGTAAGGCGAAAAACTGAAAAATCAATAAATCTAAAAGTCGAAAAATGATGAAATTAAAAAATTTTATTATCGAAATATAAAAAAAACTTGAACATCTAAAAAATGAAAATTCGAGAGATCGGAGAATCAAAAAATCAACAAAAATTGAAAAGTCGAGAAATTGAAAAATCGGAAAACCGAGAAATCGAAATAATCCACACTTCGTAAAATTGGAAAATCCAAAAATTGAGAAATCGGGAAATAGAAACATATAAATCGAGAAATCAAGAGATCGAAAAATTAGGAAATCGGGAAATCGAAAAGTCAAAAAATCGGGAAATAGAAAAATAGTAATGTCGACAAATTAAAAAAAGCTTTAAATCTAAAAATTGAAAAATCGAGAAACTGGAAAATCAAAAAATCAAGAAAAATTTAAAAATCGGAAAATTGGAACATCGAGAAATCGGAAAATTGACAAGTCGAAAAGTCGAAAAATTGAAAAATCAAGAAATCAGAAAATCAAAAAAAATCAACAAAAATTGAAAAGTTGAAAAATTGAGACTTCAAAAAATCGAAAAATTAAAAATTGAAAATTTGTGAAATCAAGAAGTCGAAACAAATCGAGAAAATTTGAGAAATCGGGAAATCGAAAAGCCGAAAAACTGACAAATAAAAAAATTAAGAAAACCAAATAATCGACGTTTCGAAAAATTGGAAATTGAAAATTCGGGAAATCGAGGGAGAAAGTCCAAAAATTGGGAAATCGGGACACCGGAAAGTCAAAAAATTGAAAAATCCGGAAATCGAAATATCCAAAAATTGAGAAATCCAGAAATAGAAACATATAAATCGAGAAAACAAAGGATCGAAAAATTGGGAAATCGGGAAATGGAAAAGTCGAGAAATTGAAATCTCGGGAAAATCAAAACATTGAAAAATCAGAAAATTGGAAAATCGAGCGATCGAAAAATTGAGAAATCGGGAAATCGGAAAATCAATGTCATTATGGAAATGTGTTTGGAATTTAAAATTATCATTTACTAAATTTATAATAATAATAATTATTATTATTATTTGGTAGAGGATCATGGACATAGCCGAAGAAGCCGCCCGCTCCCAAAAAGAAGAACACATAAAACTGGACTTCCAGTTCGTCAACGCCAAAACCCTCAACGACTCCGCCGTGGGCGACCAGGAAGGCCCCGAGGTACCACCCCGCCCAACCCCAACCCCAACCTCACTATCTCTGTCTAGGTTCGTGCCCAGGAGGTGCGCTACGACGACTCCTTCATCTCCACCGACAGCCGCTTCGAGGAGAAGTACCAGGCCATGGTACAAGCGGACGAGGACCTCGACGGCTACCAGCGCGATCAAGACCCGCAAGAAGAAGAAGAGTCCAAAGCGTCGGACGAGACGGACGGCGAAATCGAGGTAAGTTGGTCGTACCAACGGTACCATTTTCACAAAACCCCTTCTAGGTGACCGACGGCAGCGAAAAGGACCCTCAAGCCAGCCAAGTGCCTCAAATCGACCGGAACAACATTCCGCTGTACCGAAATAGCCACTTTTACAACATTCCGGTGAACACGAACTTCAGCGCTGTCCACGTCCCGAGCAACGTTTACGAGCGATGTGAGTAGAGGGTGGTACTGTGGTACTAAATTAATGCGCGTGTAGCTACAGAGGTTATTTCGGGGATTATTTGGTCCGAGGTTTTGGATACCACGTTCAAGGATAACTACCAGAGGGATCCGAGCTTATCGTGGCAGTACTTTGGTAGTTCTACGGGGTTCATGCGTCAGTTTCCTGGTACGTACGGTGTGAAGGTGTCTCGGTGGTACTTAGTAGTGAAGTTGCAGCCATGAAGTGGAACCAAGACCCGATCGACCTCTTCGACTGTCGGACCAGGTCGTGGTTCATCGAGGCGGCTTCCTCTCCCAAGGATGTCGTGATCCTAGTGGACCGCTCCGGTTCCATGACCGGGATGAGGCGCGAAATCGCCCGTCACGTGGTCCACAACATCCTGGACACCCTCGGGAACAACGACTACGTCAACATCCTCACCTTTAGTAACACCACGGACCCACTCATCGACTGCTTCGACAGCATATTGGTACAAGCCAACTTGGCCAACGTCCGTCTGCTCAAAGAGGGAATGAGTACCTTCAGGACCGAGCAAATCGCGAACCTTTCCTTGGCTTTGGTCACGGCGTTCCGGCTTCTGGAGGCGTACCGGAACGACACCAACATAGGTACTATCAAACTATATAGTACGACCGACCATTGGGTTCCACTTGTTGTTTGTAGGTGCCAACTGCAACCAAGCCATTATGTTGGTGACCGACGGAGTCCAAGACAACTACATGAAGATTTTCAAGGACTACAACTGGAATAACCTCCCGTTTGTCAACGTGAGGGTGTTCACGTATTTGATTGGTCGCGAGGTTTCTGATGTGAGGGAGGTCAAGTGGATGGCGTGCGCCAATCGCGGGTACTACGTCCATTTGAGTACTTATGCGGAGGTGCGCGAGGAGGTGTTGCAGTACATTCCGGTGATGGCGCGCCCGATGGTACTTAATGCCGGGCAGAAGCCTAATCCTACGTGGAGTCCGGTTTATGCGGACGTGACTGACCCGAAATTGACCAACTGGTTGTGGATTAATCGGGAGAGGAATAAGCAGAGGGAGAGGTTGTTGGCGTACTTCGGGAGGAAGAAGACGCTTCTGAGTCCTGATGAACAAGACAAGAAGTTCGTCCACCAGCAGAAACACGTGAGTATGCATATAATATATCGTTAGTAAAAAGAGGAAATAATGTGGGACCACTGTGTGACCCTTGACGTACTCCTGATAACACTTTTGTACAAATATTGGATTTTATACATTTTTTTATATCGTCTTATTTCTACTTTATTTAGTTATCTAAGAGGAGTGAAGCTATCGAAATCACTGCAAAGCTTAGAGTGCTTAAATTTTAAATGAGCATTTTTTTGTATATTTTAAGACTTGTCTTTCTTGTCAATCCATTTAGGAAAACTTCAAAAAAGATCACAAAAATGCAACGAAAAAAGACAAAAAGTTCACAAAAAGCAGCAAGAAATACGAAAACCGTGGATATAAAAATCTTTAAAAAATAAGAAAAAAAAAACGAGAAAAAATGCGACTAAAGCAGAGAATCAAAAAAAGCCGACAAAAAGTTTACAAAAAAAGGCGTATACAAAAATGCGGATAAGAGAAGGAAGTTAAGGAAGGTCACATAGAAAGACAACGAAAAAAGAACCAAAAGTCCACAAAAAAAATCGAGAAAAGAGGCGATAAGGGAAACCCACAAATGTGACTAAAAAAGGACAAAAAAGAAAATAAATAAAGACAAAAATGTGAAAAAAAGGCTACAACAACAAGTGATTAAAAAAGGGAATCAAAAGAAGGCAAACAAATGACAAAAATGTGACTGTTAGAGGGAAGACAAAAAAGGTGGCAAAAAGAAGACAAAAAACCGCTACAGAAAAATTCAAAAAAGTCACTTAAAATGCGACAAATAAAAAAAAAAGGTTCCAAAAATACAACAAAAAAAACACAATTAAGAAAAGGACGAAGACCCTGCATAAAAACGAAAACAGAGGACAAAAGATCCATAAAAAAAATGAAAAAAAATCAGTAGAAAAAGCGATTAAAAGAAAGTACTAAAAAGCGCAAGAAAAATTCGCCTAATACAAGAATGTTAAAAAAAGACTACAAAACAAGGTCAGAAAAAATGAAAAAAGAAAAGGAAGTCAAAAAACGGTCACAAGAAATAAAACAACGGAAAAGACAAAAAGGCGACAAAAAATACGATAACGGGAAACAAAAATCCATTCAAATTGAGTCAAAAACACTAGAAAAATACGATTCAAAGAAAGGAGTCAAAGAAGAGACGACAAAAATGCAATAAAAAATCGAACAAAAAGGTGACTACAAAAGTGACAAAAAAGACGATAAAAAAGGACAAGAAAAAACGCAACCAAAAAAGCAACTAGATAACAAATGAAAACAACAAAAAGACGACAAAAATAACAAAAAAAAAATAATAAAAAGGGAGAAAATGGAAAAAAGTCACCGCAAAAAGTTATTAAAAAGGTAATAGAAAAGACAAGAAATGGGGCAAAAAAGGGAAGACAAAAGATGAGACAAAAAAAGGGAAAACAAAAAATTAGATTAAAAAAGGGAAGAACAAAAAGGCGGCATTTTTCGCTTCTTCAATTTCCCGATTTTTCAAGTTTTCGGCTTCTTGATTTTTTTATTTTTCTACTCCTCAATTTTCCGATATTTTTTTTCGATTTTTCAATTTCTCAAATTTCAGTTTTTCTAAATTTTCGATTTCTCGATTAATGGATTTTTTCGATTTTTCAATTTTTCAATTTTTCAGGTTTTTAATTTTTATATATTTTAACTTTTCAGTTTTTCGCTTTTGTAAATTTTTAGATTATTCAATTTTTTGGTTTTTTCATGTTTCGATTTTTAGATTTTTCAATTTCTCGATTCTTAAATTTTTCGATTTTTTTATTTTTCAATTTTTGGCGTTTCTAAACTTGCAATTTTTCGAGTTCTGGATTTTTCAAATTTACAACTTTTCGATTTTTCGATTTTTCTTCTCGACGATTTCCCAATATGTCAGTTCTTCGATTTTTCTGTTTTTCAATTTTTGGTGTTTCTAAATTTTCGATTTCTCGATTAATCGATTTTTCAACTTTTCGATATCTAAATTTTCGACTTAACATTTTTCGATTTATCAACTTCTCGATTTGTCAGTTTGGCAGTTCCGCAGTTTTTCAATTATCCGACTTTTCAGGTTTTTCATTTTCTTTCGAATTCATGAATTCGATTTTTCAATTTTTCGATATTTCATTTCGATTTAACTTTTTCCCTTTTCAATTGTTCAATTTTTCGATTTCTCGATTTTTTATTTTTTGGTTTTTTAAATTTTAGATTTTTCGATTTCTCGATTTTTAAATTCTTCGGTTTCTCAATTTTTCAATGCTTGGCATTTATAAATTTAATTTTTCGACTTCTCGATTTTTCGAATTTACAACTTTTCGATTTCTCGATTTATCGATTTTTCAGTTTTTCAATTTTTCAATTTTTGATTTTTCAATTTTTTAAATTTTCGGTTTTTCGATTTTTCGACTTGACGATTTCTCAATTTTTCGATTCTTCTATTTTTCTGTTTTCCTATTTTTGGTGAATTTTTAGATTTTACAATTTTTGGCGTTCCTAAATTTTCCAAATTTCGATTTCTAGATTTCTCACTTTTCACTTTTCGATGTTTCAGTTTTTCAATTTTTCAATTTAACGACTTCTCAATTTTTCGATGTCTGTTATCGCATTTTTCAATATTTCCATTCTTGAATTTTTCGATTTTTCGGTTCTCTAATTTCTCGGCTTATCGAATTCTCGATTTTTCGATTCTGATTTTTCGACTTTTTGATTTTTCAGTTTTTCGATTTTTCAATTTTTTGATGTCTCAACTTTTCGAAATTTCTACTTTGGGATTTTTCAATATTTCTCTTCTGAATTTTTCGATTTTTCGATTTTTGGCGTTTCAATTTCCCGATTTCTCATTTAAACGTTTTTTCGAATCTTCCATCTTTCCATTTTTCGGTTTTTTGATTTTCGATTTTATAATTTTTGAGTTTTGGAACTATTCAATATTTCGAATCTTCAATTTTTTTCAGTTTTTAAATTTTACATTTTTAATTTCTCGATTGTTGAATTCTTCGATTTTTATATTTCTATTTTATTTTTGGCGTTTCTAAATTTTCGATTTCTCGATTTCTCAATTAATTACTTATTTGTTTTTCCGGTTCTTTGATTCATCGACTTTTTGGATTTTTCAATATTTCTATTTTATAGTTTTTCAGTTCTTCAATTTTTCGACTTTCTAATTTTTCAATTTTATGATTTTTAAATTTTTCGACTTGGCAATTTTGCGGAATTTCGATTTTGGGATTTTTCAATATTTCCATTTCCAAAAATTTTCGATTTTTGAGTTTCGATTTTTCCAATTCTAGATTTTCAATTTTTTAGATTTTTGATTTTTAAATTTTCGAGTTTTTAAATTTTCGATTTTTCAATTTTTCGACTTCTCAATTTTCCCAAATTTCTGTTTTGGGATTTTTCAATATTTCCATTCTTGAATTTTTTGATTTTTCGATTTTTGGCGTTTCAATTTCCCAATTTCTTATTTAATCGTTTTTTCGAATCTTCGATCTTTCCATTTTTCGGTTTTTTGATTTTCGATTTTATAATTTTTGAGTTCTTCAATTTTTCGATTTTTCAATTTTTGATTTTTAAGTTTTGGATTTTTTAAATTTTCGATTTTCGATTTTTCGACTTTGTAATTTTTCAATTTTTGGATTTTCAATTTTTCGACTTCTTTCAAAATTTGTGTGTTAGGACTTTTCAATATTTCCATTTTCGAATTTTTCCATTTTTGGGGTTCCTAAATTTTCGATTTCTCGATTTTTCAATTAATTACTTATTTGTTTTTCCGGTTCTTTGATTCATTGACTTCTTGATTTCTCGATATTTCGATTTTATAGTTTTTCAGTTCTTCAATTTTTCGACTTCCTAATTTTTCAATTTTTTGATTTTTAAATTTTTCGACTTGGCAGTTTTGCGGAATTTCGGTTTTGGGATTTTTCAATACTTCTATTCTTGAATTTTTCGATTTTTGACGATTTAAAATTTTCAATTTTTGAGTTTTTCGATTTTTCCAATTCTCGATTTTTCCATTTTGATTTTTCGACATTGCAATTTTTCAATTTTTTGGATTTTTGTTTTTTAAATTTTCGATTTTTCGACTTTCTGATTTTTCAAATTTTCTCAAATTTCTGTTTTGGGATTTTTCAATATTTCCATTCTTGAATTTTTGAATTTTTCGATTTTTGGCGTTTCTGAATTTTCAATTTTTGGATTTCTTTATTTCTAAATTAATCGACTTTTCGATTTTTTTTTTCGATTTTGCTGTTCTCTGATTTCTCGATTAAACGATTTTTCAACTTCTCCACTTTTCAGTTTCTTAATTCTTCAATTTTTCAATTACCTATTCCATTTTTCAGGTTCTCGATTTTTCAATGTTTTAAATTCTCTAATTTTCGACTTGACGATTTTTCGATTTTTCAATTTTTGGACGTCTCAACTTTTCGAAATTTCTATTTTGGGATTTTGCAATATTTCTATTCTTGAATTTTTCGATTTTTCGATTTTTGGCGTTTCAATTTCCCTATTTCTCATTTAATCGTTTTTTCGATTCCTCGATATTTCAATTTTTCTGTTTTTTGATTTTCGATTTTATAATTTTTGAGTTCTTCAATTGTTGATTTTTAAGTTTTGGATTTTTAAATTTTCGATTTTCGATTTTTCGACTTTGTAATTTTTGAATTTTTGGATTTTCAATTTTTCGACTTCTTTCAAAATTTGTGTTTTAGGACTTTTCAGTATTTCCATTTTCGAATTTTTCCATTTTTGGCGTTCCTAAATTTTCGATTTCTCAATTAATTACGTATTTGTTTTTTCGGTTCTTTGATTCATCCACTTTCTAATTTTTAATTTTTTAATTTAAAATTTTTCGACTTGGCAATTTTCCGAAATTCGGTTTTGGGATTTTTCAATATTTCCATTCTTGACGATTTAAAATTTTCCATTTTTTAGTTTTTCGATTTCTCCAATTCTCGATTTTTCCATTTTGATTTTTCAAAATTGCAATTTTTCAATCTTTCAATTTTTTAGATTTTTGATTTTTAAATTTTCGAATTTTTTAATTTTCGATTTTTCGACTTTCTGATTTTTCAATTTTTCGACTTCTCAATTTTCCCAAATTTCTGTTTTGGGATTTTTCAATATTTCCACTCTTGAATTTTTGGACTTTTCAATTTTTGGCGTTTCTAAATTTTCAATTTTTTGGATTTCTTTATTTCTAAATTAATCGGCTTTTCGATTTTTTTTTTCGATTTTTCAGGTTCTCGATTTTTCGATGTTTTATATGCTCGAATTTTCGACTTGACGATTTTTTGACTTTTCAGTTTTTCGATATTTTAGTTTTGGGACTTTTCAATATTTCGATTCTTCAATTTCTTTATACATATTGTGTTCCAATTTTTGGATATTTTATTTTTCTCTTTTTGAAATTTTAGACGTTTCGATTTCTTGCTTTGTCAGTTCTTCATTTTTTCGAATTTTCAAATTCTAGATTTTCAGTAATTTGATGTTTTAATTTCTCGATTTTTTGGTTTTTAAAATTTTTCAATTTTTCGCTTATTCTCAGTTTTATAAACACAATCACTAGACTTCTTCTCTTGATATTTAAACACTTCCCCTTTTAAGACACTGAATTGAGGTTAGGTGTCCCCGATAACCGTGACCCATTTTTTCCAGAAACAAGACAACTACGGGGAGCTCCAGACCTACAGACTCATGACTTCGGTGTCTCTGCCGGTGTACGACAAAAAGCCTCGAGCGGTGAGTACCACGAGACTTATTCTCATTAACTCCTCTGAATGGTGTAAGAATATTGTAATGTCTACAGAACATCACCGAAAAAATTCAAATCAACGAAGAGATTTGGATAAATATAACACGCGAGGTAACCACTGAGGTTTTGTTCTTTCTGTTTAGTCTTTTAGGGTTGTGGCAGGACTTAGAAGGTTTCACTTAGGTGGCAGCGCCTCTCTTAGGTAGATTAGCTCCAGATGTGTACCACATGACGTAGATAGTCTAGACTTAGAAGCGCTAGAGTAGACTTAGCTCTCGGAGAGTTTTAGCGCGGTAGTAAAACGGTGGGTTTGCAGGAACGGGTAGCCAACTTGTTGGGAGTGGCAGGGACCGACATACCCATCGAGTACATCGAGGCACTGATGTTACCCTACCGGGTAAGTACTTTTTCCCATTTTGCCTAAGCGAAAGTCAGTAAGTCAGTCGTTGTAGCTCGGAGTCAACGGGTTCGCCTTCATCGTCACCAACAACGGGTACATTTTGACGCACCCGGACCTGCGGCCCGTGGTAAATTTTGTGTTGTTAGGTTGGACAGATTTAAAGTTGGTTTTTTAGCACCAAGGTATCCTCAAACCCGCCTATAATAGGGTGGATATGATCGAGGTGGAGGTGTTGGACGACGGCTCCGAGCCCAGGCACTTTGCTGACGAAATTCTAGAGTTCAGGAGGAGAGTAGTCATGCAAGAAACGGGTGACATCACGCTGGAGGTCAAGCGCCACCTGGACGATATGGTGAGTGAGGCAGGGGTTCGGGTTGAGACATTCTCATTTTGGGTGTTTTTGCAGCGACGTTTGGTTACCGGCACCCGTCACTACTACTACATGGGGGTGAATAATACCCCGTTCACTATTGTGATTTCGTTGCCGGGGAAGTACGGCTTCTACAAAGTCGAGCATTCTGTGGAAAATGATATTCATAGAATGAGATCTGATGATAAGATTGATAAGAGTGAGGGTGGGTGGCTTACGCAGTTTTTCACCGGGAATTGGACGCTGCATCCGGATTGGTGAGTCTGTCTGTCTGTCTGTCTGTCTGTCTGTCTGTCTGTCTGTCTGTCTGTCTGTCTGTCTGTCTGTCTGTCATCTGTAAATGACGTCATTAAATCTTATAATTTTTCGAAACAGCTGGATTTGATTTTTTGATATCACAATTTTCGTTTTTCCTTTTTCTTGGATTTTACAATTTTTTGAAATCACAATTTTTTGTTTTTCCATTTTATTTCATTTTTCAATGTTTCGGTTTCATAATTTTTTGTTTCTTCAATTTTTCAAATTTCTGATTTCCAATTTTTAGATTTTTCATAGTTTTCATTTTATAGTTTTTCGTTTTTTCACTTTTTATTTTAAACTTTATCAATTTCTGGGGTTTTTAAATGTTCGATTTCTCGATTTTTCCATTTCTCAATTTATTGACTTTTCTATGTTTCAATGTCTCGATGTTTCTGTTTCGATTTCTCGAATTTTCGATTTTTCAGTTTTTCAATTTTTCCGATTTTTATCGTTTCTAAATTTTCGATGTCTCAATTTCCCGACTTTTCGATTTTTCGGTTGTTTGATTTGTCGACTATATTTGAATTCTTCAATTTTTCGATTTTTCAGATTTTTGATTTTTTAAATTTTCGATTTTTCGACTTTTTGATTTTTCAATTTTTCGACCTTTTAAGTTTTCCAAATGTCTCTAGGAGTGTTCAATATTTCCATTCTTGAATTTTTCGGCCTTCGGTCCTTTGGCCATTTCTAAATTTTCGATTTTTCGGTTCTTTGATTTCTCGACATTTTTGGATGTTTCAATTTCTCGAGTTCTCGTTTTCTCGATTTTTCAGTTTTCAATTCTTCAATTTTTTGCTTTTCAATTTTTGATTTTTAAATTTTGGGTTTTTTAAATTTTCCGTTTTTCGGCTTTCTGATTGTTCAGTTTTCCGTATTTTCAATTTTACTGCTTCTCAAATTTTCGAAATTTTTGTTTTGGGATTTTTCAGTATTTCCACTCTTGAATTTTTAAGTTTTTCGATTTTTGGCGTTTCTAAATTTTCAATTTTTCAATTTCTTGATTTCTCAATTAATCAATTTTCGATTTTTCTGTTCTTTGGTTTATCGATTTTTCCATTTTGGTTTTTCAATTTTTCGACTTTCCATTTTTCCGAAATATCTATTTTGGGGTATTTTCAATATTTCCATTTTTGAATTTTTCGATTTTTGGCGTTTCAAAATTTTAAACTTTTTAGTTTATCGATTTCTCCAATTCTGGATTTCTCGATTTTGGTTTTTCGACTCTCAGATTTCCGAAATTTCTATTTTGGGATTTTTCAGTATTTCCACTCTTAAATTTTTTGATTTTTTGATTTTTGGCGTTTCAAATTTTTCAAGTTTTTAATTTTTCGATTTCTCCAATCCTCGATTTTTCCAGTTTTCAATTGTTTAATTTCTCAGATTTTTTATTTTTAAATTTTAGAATTTTCGGCTTGTCAAACTTTCTCTTATGAGATTTTCAATATGTCCATTTTTGAATTTTTCGTTTTTTGACTTTTCTATATTTTCTATTTTTCGATTTCTTGATTTTTCGATTAATCGATTTTTCGATTTTGATTTTTCGACTTTTTGATTTTTCAATTTTTCGAAATTTCTGTTTTAGGATTTTTCAATATTTCCATTCTTGAATTTTTCGATTTTTCTATTTTTGGCGTTTCGATTTCTCAGTTAATCGGTTTTTCGATTTTTGATCTTTCGATTTTTCGGTTCCTTGATTTCTCGGCTTTTCGATGTTTCAATTTCTCGATTTTTCGATTTTGATTTTTTGTCTTCTTAATTTTTTGAAATTTCTGTTTCGGGATTTTTCAATATTTCCATTCTTGAATTTTTCGATTTGTGGCATTTTTCAATTTTCGATTTTTCGATTTCTCAATTTCTCACTTAATCGATTTTTCGGATTTCAGATCTTTCTTTTTCTGTTCTTTGATTTACTGACTTTTCTAAATTTTCAATTTCTCGACTTCTCGATTTCTCGTTGTTTGATTTTATCGTTTTTCAGTTCTTGAATTTTTTAATTTTTTAGTTTTAGATTTTTTAAATTTTTTATTTTTCGGCTTTTCGATTTTTCAAAATATCTGTTTCGGGATTTTTCAATACTGCCATTCTTGAATTTTTTTAATTTTCGGTTTTTCGGTTTTTTGATTTTCGATTTTGCGACTTTCTGATTTTTCAATCTTTCGACTTTTCAATTTTTCAACTTCCCAATTTTCCGAAATTTCTGCTTTTGAATTTTTCAATATTTCCATTCTTTTTTTTTTCGATTTTTGGCGTTTCAAAATTTTCAGTTTTTCAGTTCTTCGATCTTTCCAATCATCGATTTTTCGATTTTAATTTTTCAACTTTTTGATTTTCAGTTTTTCAGATTTTGTTTTTTATATTTTAATTTTTTCAACTTTCTGCTTTTTTAATTTTGGATTTATCAATTTTTCGACTTTCCAAATTTCCGAAATTTCTGTTTCAGTTTTTCAGTTTCTTGATTTCTCAATTAATCGATTCTTCGATTTTTCTGTTCTTTGATTTATCTACTTTTCGATGTCTCAATTTCTGAATTTCTCCGATTATCGATTTTTCGGCTTTCTGATTTTCCAGTTTTTCGATTTTTCAAATTTTTAACTTCCTAATTTCCCGAAATTTCTGTTTTGGGTTTTTTTCAATATTTTCATTTTTGGATTTTTCAATTTTTGGGCTTTCTAAATTTTCAGTTTTTCAATTTTTGGACTTCTCCAATTCTCGATTTTTTCAATTTTTTGAAATACCTGGTTCGGGATTTTTCAATACCATTCTGAATTTTTTTAATTTTCGATTGTTCGACTTTCTGATTTTTCAATTTTTCGATTTTTCAATTTCTAATTTTCCGACATTTTTGGTTTTTGTTTTTCGATTTTTTGAGTATCAGAAGTTTTAATTTTTCAGTTTTTCAATTTTTCGACTTCCCAATTTTTCGAAATTTCTATTTTGGAATTTTCAATATGTATTTTTATTCTTGAATTTTTCGATTTTTCCATGTTTGCATTTCTAAATTTTCGATTTCTCAATAAACCGGGGTTTCGAATTCCCGACTTTTCGATTTTTCGGTTCTTTGATTCCTCGACTACTCGATTTTTCAGTTTTTCAATTCTTCAATTTCCCGACTTTTCAATTTTTCGATTTTTCACATTTTTCGATTTTTCAGATTTTTGATTTTTTAAATTTTCGATTTTTCGACTTTTTGATTTTTCAATTTTTCGATTTTTCTGCCTCATTTTCGAAATTTGTTTGGAAGTTTTCAATATTTCCATTTTTGAATTTTTCGATTTTCCTATCTTAGGTCGTTTTTAAATTTTCGATTTTTCGGTTTCTTCATTTCTCAATTAATCGGTTTTCGATTTTTCGGTTCTTTGATCTCTCGACTTTTCGATGTTTCAATTTGTCGACTTCTCGTTTTCTCGATTTTTCGATTTTTAGTTTTTCAATTCTTCAATTCTTCGACTTTTCAATTTTTGGATGTTTCAGATTTTTTATTTTTAAATTTTGGGTTCTTTAAATTTTCGATTTTTCGAATTTCTAATTTTCAGTTTCTCGTTTATTCAATTTTACGACTTCTCAATTTTTCGAAATTTCTGTTTAGGGTTTTTTTGTATATATTATTCATCAACTTTTCGATGTTTCTATTTTGATTTATCAACTTTTTAATTTTTCAGTTTTCGATTTTTCAATTTTTCAACTTCTCAATTTTTGGAAATTTCTATTTTGGGATTTTTCAGTATGTATTTCCATTCTTGAATTTTTCGATTTTTCGATTTTTTGCATTTCCAAATTTTAGATTTTTCGATTTCTTGGTTTCTCAGTTAATCGATTTTTCGATTTTTCCGTTTTTTGATTTTATATTTTCGGTTTTTCGTCGTTTTGATTATTCGACTTTCTGATTTTTCAGTTTTTCGATTTTTCGACTTCCCAGTTTTCCGATATTTTTGTTTTGGGATTTTTCAATATTTTCATTCTTAAATTTTTTGACTTTTCAATTTTTCGATTTTACAATTCTCGATTTTTCAATTTTTCGACTTCCCAATTTTCCGAAATTTCTGTTTTGGGTTTTTTCAATATTTCAATTTTTGAATATTTCGATTTTTAGCGTTTCGAGATTTTAAATTTTTTAGTTTTTCGATTTCTCCAATTCCCGATTTTTCGACTATCAAATTTTTCAGTTTTTCGACTTTGGTTCGATTTTTCAATTTTAGACTTTTCGGCTTTTGCGATTTTCCGACTTTCTGGTTTTTGAATTTTTCATTCTTCGACTTCTCAATTTTCCGAAATTTCTATTTTGGTATTTTTCAGTTTTTCCACTCTTCAATTTTAAATTTTTCGATATTTGGAGTTTCAAAATTTTCAATTTTTTAGTTTTTCGATTTCTCCAATTCTCGATTTTTCGATTTTGATTTTTGAACTTTCTGATTTTCAATTTTTCGACTTTCTGATTTTCAATTTTTCGACTCTTGAATTGTTGGATTTTTCAGATTTTTTATTTTATATTTCGATTTTTCGACTTTCTGATTTTCAATTTTTCGATTTTTCATTTTTCGACTTCTCAATTTTCCGAAATTTCTACTGGGATTTTTCAGTATTTCCCCTCTTAAATTTTTAGATTTATCGATTTTTTGAGTTTCTAAATTTTCAATCTTTGAATTTCTTGATTTCTCAATTCATGGATTTTTTGGACTTTTTCTGTTCTTTGATTTATCAACTTTTCGAATTTTCAATTTCTGGACTTCTCCAATTCTCGATTTTTTGGTTTTGATTTTTCGACTTTCGGATTTTTCAATTTTTCGCCTTTTCAATTTTTTGAAATAGCTGTTTCGGGATTTTTCAATACCATTCTTGGATTTTTTAAATTTTAGATTTTTCGACTTTCTGATTTTTCAATTTCAACTTCCCAATTTTCCGAAATTTCTGTTTTTAGGTTTTTTTTCGATTTTTGAAGTATCAGAATTTTCAATTTTTTAGTTTTTCGATTTCTTCAGATATCGATTTTTCGATTTTGACTTTTTAACTTTCTGATTTTCAATTTTTCGACTTTGAATTGTTGGATTTTTCAGATTTTTGGTTTTATATTTCGATTTTTCGGCTTTTCGATTTTTCGACTTTCTAATTTTTCAATTTTTCGACTTCTCAATTTTCCAAAATTTCTGTTTTGGGATTTTCCAGTATTTCCAGTCTTGGATTTTTCGATTTTTGGCGTTCCTAAATTTTTAATTTTTCAAATTTTTGGTTTCTCAATTATTCGGTTTTCGATTTTTCTGTTCTTTGATTTATCGACTTTTCGATATTTTAATTTATTAATTTCTCCAATTCTGGATTTTTCGATTTTGATTTTTCAACTTTCAGATTCTTCAATTTTGCGACTTTTCAATTGTTAGATTTTTCAGATTTTTGATTTTTAAATTTTTCGGTTTTTCAATTTTTCGACCTTTCAATTGTTTGAGTCTTCAGATTTTTGATTTTTAAATTTTCCATTTCTCGACTTCTTGATTTTTCAACTTTCAGATTCTTCAATTTTGCGACTTTTCAATTGTTAGATTTTTCAGATTTTTGATTTTTAAATTTTTCGTTTTTTCAGTTTTTCGACTTCCCAATTTTCTGAAATTTCTGTTTTTGGATTTTTCAGTTTTTCCATTTTTTTCTCGATTTTTTGCGTTTCAAAATCTTTAATTTTTTAGTTTTTCCATTTCTCCAAATCTCGATTTTTCGATTTTAATTTTTCAACTTTCTGATTTTCAATTTTAGATTTTTGAATTGATCGATTTTTCAGATTTTTGTTTTTTATGTCTTCGATTATTCGGTTTTTCGATTTTTGGACTTTCTGATTTTTCAATTTTTCGACCACTCAATTTTCCGAAATTTTTGGCGTTTCAAAATTTTCAAAATTTTAGTTTTTCGATTTGTCCAATTCACGATTTTTAGTTTTTGATTTTTCGACTTTCAGATTTTTCAATTTTTAGAGTTTTCGATTAGATTATTCAGTTTTTGGATTTTTAAATTTTCAAAGTTTCGGCTTTTCGATTTTTCGACTTTCTAGTTTTTCAATTTTTCGATTTTTCATTTTTCGACTCTTAAATTTTTAGATTTTTCGATTTTTGGCGTTTCTAAATTTTCAATTTTTCAATTTCTTGATTTCTCAGTTAATCGGCTTTTCAATTTTTTCTGTTCTTTGATTTATCGACTTTTCGAAGTTTCAATTTCTGGACTTCTTCAATTCTCGATTTTTTTATTTTCAATTTTCGATTTTTGAATCGATCGATTTTTTAGATTTTGGTTTTTGTCTTCGATTTTCTGATTTTTCGACTCTCTGATTTTTCAATTTTTTGACTTATCAATTTTCCGAAATTTTTGTTTTGGGATTTTCCAGTATTTCGATTTTTGGCGTTTCAAAATTTTCAAAATTTTAGTTTTTCGATTTCTCCAATTCTCGATTTTTATTTTTTGATTTTTCGACTTTCAGATTTTTCAATTTTTAGAGTTTTCGATTAGATTATTCAGTTTTTGGATTTTTAAATTTTCAATGTTTCGGCTTTTCGATTTTTCGACTTTCTAGTTTTTCAATTTTTCGATTTTTCAATTTCAACTTCCTAATTTTCCGAAATTTCTGTTTTTGTTTTTTTTTTTTTCGATTTTTGGAGTTTCAGAATTTTCAATTTTTTAGTTTTTCGATTTCTCCAATTCTCGATTTTTCGATTTTGATCTTTCAACTTTCTGATTTTCAATTTTTCGACTCTTGAATTGTTGATTTTTCAGATTTTTGATTTTATATTTCAATTTTTCAATTTTCCGAAATTTCTGTTTTGGAATTTTCCAGTGTTTCCATTCTTGGATTATTCGATTTTTGGCGTTTCTAAATTTTTAATGTTTTAGATTTTCGATTTATCCAATTCTGAATTTTTCGATGTTGATTTTTCGACTTTCAAATTCTTCAATTTTGCGACTTTTCAATTGTTCGATCTTTCAGATTTTTGATTTTTTAAATTTTCGATTTCTCGGCTTTTCGATTCTTCGACTTTTTGATTTTTCAATTTTTCGTCTCTTCAATTTTTCGAAGTTTCTGCTTCGATTTTTCGATTTTAGCCTTTCTAAATTGCCGATTTTTTGATTTTCGGATTTCAGAATTAATGGGTTTTTCGATTTTTTCTTTTTTCGGTTCTTTAATTTCTCGACTTTTTAATATTTTGATTTTTCAGATTTTTGGTTTCTAATTTTTAAATTTTCGAATTTTCGGCTTTTCGATTTTTCGACTGTTTGATTTCTCAATTTTTCAATTTTCCGTTTTTTTGTTTTCTTTCATTTTTCAATTCTTCGACTTAAATTTTTGCTTTCTTCGATTTTTCAATTTTTCCTTTACTCAATGTTTCAAGTTCTTAATTTTTATTTTTCATTTTCTCGCTTTTTAATTTTCATTTTCACGTTTGTATGTTACAATTTTTCGTTTTTTCACATCCTTTATTTTTTCAATGTTTCTTTTGATTTTATAATTTTTCGTTTATTCAATTTTTCAAATTTTCAATATTTGATTTTCTGTTCCTCGATTTTCCAATTTTTCAATTTTTGAAAATACAGTTATCCCATTTTCCGAGTTCTATCTAAAAATTGGAAGAAAGGAAAAATTGAAAAACTGAAAAATCTAAAATTGAAAAACCGAAAAATTGAAAACTAATAAAAATAAAAAACCGAAACGAAAAATTGAATCAAAATCTAAAAATTGAAACTCCAAAAGTTGGAAAATCGAAAAACTGAAAATTTTAAAATGTAAACTAGGATGTCATAAATTTGAAGAAACAAAAGAATGACAAATTTATTTTTGGAAAATCGAAAAACTGCAAATGGAAAAACTGAAAAAACAAAATATCGAAAATCGAAAAATTGTTAACTGAAAAAACGAAAAGTTGAAAAATTAAAAATTGAAAAAATGAAAAACTAAACATTGTAAAATCAAAAATTCGTCAATCAAGAAACTGAAACTTCGAAAAATTGTTAAATCGAAAAATTACACTTCAAAAAATTGAAGAAATAAAAACTGAAAAATTCAAAAGACGAAAAATTAAGATATTTAAAAATTAAATAATTCTAAAATTCAAAAGTCGAAAACTTACAAATCTGAAATATTTTAAATTTGAAAATTGTGAAATTAAAAAACCGAAAACTTAAATAATCAAAAAATTAAAAATCGAGGGATCAACTCAAACAGACGACAGCCAGATAAAAAAAATCCACTTTAGTTTAGCTAAGTATGGGATTATGAAAACCCGCAGAGAAGAGGCGGAGAAGTCTAATCCCTCGCTGCTGGGTAATAGCTGGTTTAATCAATTTTTTTTACAACATTGTAGGCATTACTGCCGCTACATGGACGACCGCCACTACTTCGAGACCCCAGAAGAGGAACTCTTGCACTTCCTCAAGAAGATCGAAGGAATCAAGTGGAAGTGGCTCGAGTGTACGTACCTCACCACCCCATTAACCCTAACCTAAAATTTTGAACTAAACAGGCGACCGTCGACTCATCACCAAGGTCGTCGCCGACGCCAAGATCACCTCCTGGTTCAGCGAAAACATCACCACCGCCAACTACACTAAAGAAGAAAACGGGTAAGTGGCGTCCCATTTCGAATACCCACCGAACACTAACTCTAAACACACTCTAATTTAATTTTTCTTAAGACCCATAGCTGTATTGATGGCTTTAATGCCAAGGTACGGTATTCCCTTGACGAAATTTTTATACGTATAGGTGTAGGTGTAAGGGGATTTCTTGCAGGCCTCCAAGTTGTGCGTGGGGTTACCCTATCCACAATAGTGTTTGTTTTTAGGGAGAAGTTCATCCGGAGGTTTGGCATCACTGTCGCGTTTTTGGCGACGCATAGCGGGCTGACGCGGTGGCAGGACTTCCCCCAGAACATCGACGCGAATGCTAAGGAGGAACCGTGAGTTGGACTGATGGGGATTTTAGGGTTCTAACACCCTGAGTAGTACTTACAGGCACTTTCATATACTACATAATAAGGCGATTGATGAGATATGGTACAAGAGGGCCGTGGAGTACCACTACAAGGACCACACGGCGTACGTGTACTCGGTCCCGTTTGATGTGGGTGACGAGAATAACACGCTGTTGACGGTGAGTCACGCCATCTTTCGAGAAGAGGGTGCGAAGAAGAGTCCTGCGGCGGTGATTGGGTACCAGTCGTACCACAGTGCGTTGTATTCGCTTTTCCGGAATATAACGACGAGTGTAAGTTAAACTTAATAATAATAATAATAATATTTTTTTTACAAATTTTATAAAATAACGTACTCCTATACTTGTGGTTTATGAATCCGTATTGAGTTGTTTCATGCCCCTCCTAGGAATTGATGATATCATCTTACAATTTCGTCGAATAAATGTCATTTAAATTTTAAGAATAACAGTGAACTTTGGTTTGGACTTTGTGTGTGACAATTTTCCGAATTTTCTATTTTTTGGTTTTTCGATTTTTCAATTTTCGACTTCTCAATTTTTCGGTATTTCAGTTTTGGGATTTTCCTATTTTCAATTTTTGATTTTTAGATTTCTCGATTTTTCAATTTTTCGATTTCTCAATTTTTCTGTGTTTCAGTTTTGGGATTTTTCAATTTTTCGATTTTTCGATTTTTTTTTTATTTTTCAATTTTGCGAGGTTTAGATTCATCGATTTATCGAAACCTATATTTCAACTGTGGGAATTTTCAATATTTCAAATCTTCATTTTAAGATTTTTTAATTTTCAACTTTTGACGTTTCTAAATTTTCGATTTTTCGATTTCTTCATTTCTCGATTAATCGACATTTCAATTTTTCGATTTCCCGATTTTTTTATTTTTCCATTTCTCAATTTCTCGACCTTTCGATTTTTCAGTTTTTCGGTTTTTTGAGTTTCCCATTTCCCGAGTTTTCCATTTTAAGTTTCGATTTCTCTACTACTCGTTTTTCCGATTTTTTGCTTTTTGGGGTTTTCAATTCTTCTGTTTTTCGACTTTTCAATTTTTTTGTTTTTTAGATCCTTGATTTTTTAATTTTTCGATGTTTCAGCTTTGACATTTTTCAGTTTTTGGACATTTCGGTTTTGGGATTTTTCGATATTTCCCTTCTAGAATTTTTCGATTTTTAAATTTCTTGACTTTTCGATTTTGCGATTTCTTGATTTTTCAATTTTACGAATTTTGAAATTTTGGATCTTTAATTTTTTTACTTTTCAATTTTTCTATTTTTTGATGTTTCAATTTCCGGATTTTTCTATTTATCAGTTCTTCAATTTTTTCAATTCTCGGTTTTAAATTTTTCGATTTTTCAGTTTTTTGAATTATCAATTTTTCAATTATTCGATTATTCAATCTCCCGATTTTTCATTTTATTCAGGTTTTTTATTTTTTAATTTTTCAATGTTTCAGCTTTGGGATTTTTAAGCTTTTAGATATTTCAATTTTGGAATTTTTCGATATTTCGATTCTGCAATTTTTCAATTTTTCGACTTTTCGATTTCTTGATTTTTCAATTTTACGAATTTTGAAATTTTGGATTTTTATTTTTTTTTTACTTTTCAATTTTTCCATTTTTGATGTTTAAATGTCTTAATTATTAAATTCTTCAATTTTTTATTTTTCAACTTTTCAATTTTTTTGTTTTTTAGATTCTTGAATTTTTAATTTTTCGATTTTCAATTTTTTTGTTTTTTAGATTCTTGATTTTTTAATTTTTCGATGTTTCAGCTTTGACATTTTTCGGTTTTTGGACATTTCGGTTTTGGAATTTTTCGATATTTCCATTCTAGAATTTTTCGATTATTAAATTTCTCGACTTTTCGATTTTGCGATTTCTTGATTTTTCAATTTTACGAATTTTGAAATTTTGGATATTTAATTTTTTTAATATTCAATTTTTCTATTTTTTGATGTTTCAATTTCCGGATTTTTCTAGTTTTCAGTTCTTCAATTTTTTCAATTCTCGGTTTTAAATTTTTCGATTTTTCAGTTTTTCGTTTTTCAAAATCTTTTGTTTTTCGATTTTTCAGTGTTTAAATTTTTCCATTTCTCAGTTTTTTGAATTATCAATTTTTCAATTATTCGATTATTCAGTCTCCCAATTTTTCAATTTATTTATTATTCAGGTTTTTCATTTTTTAATTTTTCAATGTTTCAGCTTTGGGATTTTTAAGTTTTTAGATATTTCAATTTTGGGATTTTTCGATATTTCGATTCTGCAATTTTTTGATTTTTTGACTTTTCGTTTTTTAAATTCTCGACTTTTCGATATCTTGATTTTTCAATTTTACGAATTTTGAAATTTTTGATTTTTATTTTTTTTTTACTTTTCACTTTTTCCATTTAAGTGTCAGTTTTTCAGTTCTTCAGTTTTTTATTTTTCGTTTTTTTTTAATGCTTTGATTTATTGATCTTTCAATTTTTCGAAATCTCGGTTTTAAATTTTTCGGTTATTCATTTTTTCATTTTCAAAATTTTTTGTTCTTCGATTAGTCAGTGTTTAAATTTTTCGCCTTCCCAAGTTTTCGAATTAACAATTTTTCAATGTTTCGATTATTCAATTTCCCGATTTTTCGATTTTTAAATTTATGGATTTTTTTTGATTTATTTTTGAATTTTTCGATTTTGGGCTATTTCATTTCTCATTTTTCAATTTTTCCATGTTTCAGATTTAGGATTTTCAATTCTTCAATTTTTATTTAATTTTTCAATTTTTCAGTTTTGGGATTTTTGAATTTTTCGATTCTTCAATTTTTTGTCTTTTCGACTTCTCGATTTTTCAGGTTTTTGGTTTTTTAAATTTTCGATGATTTCAGCTTTGAAATTTTTCAGTTTTTCGATATTTCGATTCCAGTTTTAAAATTTTAGATTTTTAATTTTTTTGTGCTTTTCAATTTTTTTTTGATGTTTCAGTTTCCCGATTTTTCAATTTTTCAGTTCTTCGATTTTTTGTTTTCAATTTTTTGATGCTTCAATTTCTCGATTTTTCGATTTTTCGAATTCTCGGTTTAAACTTTTTCGATTTTTAAAATTTTTGATTTATCAATTTTTCAGTGTTTAAATTTTTCTATTTCTTGGGTTTTCGAATTTTTTCAATTTTTCGATTTTGGACTATTTCGACTTCTCGACTTTTCAATTTCTCAATTTCTCGAACTTTTCATGTTTCTATTTCTCGATGTTTCAATTTTCCAGGTTTTGAGATTTTTTAAAATTGATCAATTTTTCGATTTCTCGATTTTCAATTTTTCGATTTCTAGATTTTTATTTTTATATTTCAGTTTTGGGATTTTTCAACTTTTGGATTCTTCAATTTTTCGCTTTTCCGACTTTTCAAATTTTCGTTTTTTCATATTTTTAATTTTTGATTTTTTAATTTTCAATTATTTGATTTTTCGATGTTTCGATTTCTCGATCATTCGGTTTTTTGATTTTTCGATAAATTGAAATCCTAAAAATTCTAAAAATCTAAAACTGAAAATATCGGAAAATTGGAAAATCCAAAAATTGAAAAATTCCCAAAATTAAAATATTAAAAAATTGAGAAATCGGAAACTTGAAAAATTGAAAAATAGAAAAAAATCGAGAAATCGAAAATTTTTTAAAATCAAAAAAACGAGATGTGGAGAAATCGAAGAAAATTCGAAAAATCGAAAAATTAAAATATTAAAAAATCGAAACATTGAAATTTTGAGAAAGTGAAAAACCCCAAAATTGAGACAACATGGAAATATCGAAAAATTGAAAAATCGAAATAGCAAAAAACCAAAAAATTAAAAAATTTTGAAGTTAAAAATATGGATAAATTAAAACATTAAAAAATAAAAAAATCAAGAAATTGAACAATCGAGAAATGAAAACATCAAAATCGAAAATTCAAATATATGAAAAATCGAAAAATCAAAAATTTTTAAAATAGAAAAATTGAAGATCCAAAAACTCTTTATTTTGAAAATCGAAGTTTTAAAATTTAAAAATTAAAGTATGGAAAAATTGAAAAACTGAAACCTTGAAAACACGAAAATCGGAAGTCGAAAAATGAAAAAACTAAGAAATCAAGAAATTGAGAAATCATAAAGTCTAGAAATAAAAAAAAAAGTATTTTTAAAAAATCGATAAAATGAAAAATTGAAAAATGTGAAATTAAAATATCGAAAAATTGAAAATACCAGAAACTGAAGAATTGAAAAATTGAAAAATGGAGAAAATCAAAAATTCCAAAAGAATCGAAAAATGGGGAAATGGAAAAATTGAAAAATCGTGAAATCGAAAAATTGAAAAGTTGAAAAGTCAAAAAATGGACAAATCAAAAAATTGAAAAATCCAAAATTCGAGAAATAGGAAAATCGAAGAATCGAAAAATGAAAAAGTCAAAAAATCGAGAAATTGAAAAATTGGACAACCGAAAAATCAGTAATTTTAAAAATCGAAAAATCAAAAAACTAAAAAATCTAAAACCGGGAATTCGAGAAATCGAAAGACAAAAATTCAAAAATTCAAAAACTTAGAATTAAAAAAATCAATAAATTGAAAAATTAAAAAATTGAAAAATCGGAAAATTGAACAATCGAAAATTCGAGAAATCGCACCTCGAAAATTGGGAAATCGAAAAAGTGAAAAGCCGAAAAGTCGAAGCTCCAAGAAATCAAGACACCCAGAAATGGAAACATGAAAAAATCAAGAAATTGTAAAAATTGAAAAATTGAGAAACTTAAAATTTCAAAATTGTCTAAAAATTGGGAAATGGAAAAATTGAAAAATCGAGAAATCGAAAAATTGAAAAATTCAAAATTCGAAAACCTGAAAAATTGAAGATATATTAAAGAATGGAAAAACTGGAAAATCCCAAAACTAAAATATCGAAAAAGTGAATAATCGAAAAATGTGTAAATCGAAAAATCGAAAAGGTGAAAAGTCAAAAAATGGACAAATAAAAAAAATTGAAAAATCCAAAATTCGAGAAATAGCAAAATCGAAGAATCGAAAAATGACAAAGTCAAAAAATCGAGAAATTGAAAAATTGGACAACCGAAAAATCAGTAATTTTAAAAACCGAAAAATCAAAAAACTAAAAAATCTAAAACCAGGAATTCGAGAAATCGAAAGACAAAAAAATCAAAAATTCAAAAACTTAGAATTAAAAAAAATCAATAAATTGGGAAATCGAAAAAGTGAAAAGCCGAAAAGTCGAAGATCCAAGAAATCAACACACCCAGAAATGGAAACATGAAAAAATCAAAAAATTGTAAAAATTGAAAAATTGAGAAACTTAAAATTTCAAAATTGTCTAAAAATTGGGAAATGGAAAAATTGAAAAATCGAGAAATCGAAAATTGAAAAATTCAAAATTCGAAAACCTGAAAAATTGAAGATATATTAAAGAATGGAAAAACTGGAAAATCCCAAAACTAAAATATCGAAAAAGTGTATAATCGAAAAATGTGTAAATCGAAAAATCGAAAAGCTGAAAAGTCAAAAAATGGACAAATCAAAAAAATTGAAAAATCCAAAATTTGAGAAATAGGAAAATCGAAGAATCGAAAAATGAGAAAGTCAAAAAATCGAGAAATTGAAAAATTGGACAACCGAAAAATCAGTAATTTTAAAAATCGAAAAATCAAAAAACTAAAAAATCTAAAACCCTGAATTCGAGAAATCGAAAGACAAAAAAATAAAAAATTCAAAAACTTAGAATTAAAAAAACCAATAAATTGAAAAATTTAAAAATTGAAAAATCGGAAAATTGAACAATCGAAAATTCGAGAAATCGCACCTCGAAAATTGGGAAATCGAAAAAGTGAAAAGCCGAAAAGTCGAAGATCCAAGAAATCAAGACACCCAGAAATGGAAACATAAAAAATCAAGAAATCGAAAAATTGAAAAATTCAAAATTCGAAAACCTGAAAATTCGAAGATATATTAAAGAATGGAACAACTGGAAAATCCCAAAACTAAAATCTCGAAAAAGTGAATAATCGAAAAATGTGTAAATCGAAAAATCGAAAAGCTGAAAAGTCAAAAAATAAACAAATCAAAAAAATTTAAAAATCCAAAATTCGAGAAATAGGGAAATCGAAGAATCGAAAAATGACAAAGACAAAAAATCGAGAAATTGAAAAATTGGAAAACCGAAAAATCAGTAATTTTAAAAATCTAAAAATCAAAAAACTAAAAAATTCAAAACCGGGAATTCGAGAAATCGAAAGACAAAAATTCAAAAATTCAAAAACTTAGAATTAAAAAAATCAATAAATTGAAAAATTAAAAAATTGAAAAATCGGAAAATTGAACAATCGAAAATTCGAGAAATCGCACCTCGAAAATTGGGAAATCGAAAAAGTGAAAAGCCGAAAAGTCGAAAATCCAAGAAATCAAGACACCCAGAAATGGAAACATGAAAAACTCAAGAAATTGTAAAAATTGAAAAATAGAGAAACTTAAAACTTCAAAATTGTCTAAAAATTGGGAAATGGAAAAATTGAAAAATCGAGAAATCGAAAAATTGAAAAATTCAAAATTCGAAAACCTGAAAAATCTAAGATATATTAAAGAATGGAAAAACTGGAAAATCCCAAAACTAAAATATCGAAAAAGTGAATAATCGAAAAATGTGTAAATCGAGAAACCGAAAAGCTGAAAAGTCAAAAAATGGACAAATCAAAAAAATTGAAAAATCCAAAATTCGAGAAATAGGAAAAGCGAGGAATCGAAAAATGACAAAGTCAAAAAATCGAGAAATTGAAAAATTGGACAACCGAAAAATCAGTAATTTTAAAAATCAGAAAATCAAAAAACTAAAAAATCTAAAATCGCAACCTCAAAAAAAATTGGAAAATTCTAAAATCAAAAAACGAAAAATCGAGACATCGAAAAATTAAAAAATTGAAACATCGAAAAATAAAAAAATTGAAAGGTGGAGAAATCGAAACAATGAAAAAGTAAAAAAATCTAGAAACTCAAAAATTGAAAATTCGAGAAATCGAAAATTTGAGAAACTAAAAATTCGAAAATCTGAATAACCGAAAAATAGAAAAGTTGTAAAATCAGAGATATATATAATATAATATAATAGAATAGAAATAGAAAAATCGAAGAGTCAAAAAATCGAGAATTTGAAAAATTAAAAAACTGAAAAATTGAAAAATCGAAAAATCAAGTCTTAAAAACCGAAAAACTGAAAAGCCAAAAAATCGAAAACCGAGTATTAGACAAATCAAAAAAATATAAAAAAATAAAAAATTCGAAAAACTCAAAAATAAAAAATCTTTTTTCAATTTTTCGTTTTTGGTTTTTACTTTATAGAGGTTATCAGAAGTCTAGAATTGTACAAAATTTTCAAAGAAGCGTGATTTGTTGTACTGTACTTCAGGAATAACGGAAATCCTGTCGAAATAACCTCCGACCCATTTTCTTCCAGTGCGGCGACATCGCCTGCACCCGGACCTGCGAGACCGATGAGCTCGACTGCTTCCTCCTCGACGAGAACGGCTACATCATCGTCAGCGACGACCTCACCCAGACGGGCTACTTCTTCGGGAAGTTCCGCCCCGACATCATGGGTTTCCTGGTGAACGAGGGCATCTACAACGTGACCCGCATGTACGACTACCAGGGCCTGTGCCCCGAGGAGGAGGAGGCCAGCAACCCCGCGCCGCCCATGTCCACGGTAAGCCGTCCGGAGTCAGGCCTTCTCGGCACTCACCTTTCCTTCCATCCAGCCCTTCGTGAGCATGACGTACTTCTTGCGTTGGATTTTCGACCTCCTCCTCACACTCACACCAACACTCACACTCAGCACTGAAGACATTTACACTCTGTACCACCGATCGATCGAGGAGCACTTGAAATACGCCCCGTGCGACGAGGAGTACTATGTCTATGCGTTGAATTATTCGGGCGATTTTGGCGCTTTTAGATACTGGTAATTGGAGTTGGCGGTGGGCGGTCGGGATTGGGTCCCCACTCTTGCTAGGGGCGGGATTTTTATTTTTGTGTTGTTACAAAGGTGCCATGAATCAACCTACGAAAGAGTTACAATTTTCCAATTTTTCGATACTTCAGTTCATCGATTTTAGCTTTTCGACTTTTCAGTTTTAAGTTTTAAGTTTTTCTACTTTTGAATTTTTCAATTTAATTTAAAAAAATGTTAACAAGGAGATTTTTGACATTTTAATTCTTGATTTTTAACCTTTCAAATTCTTGATTTTTAATGTTTGATTTTTAATTTTTCAGTTTTGTACAAGATTTTTTTTTTAATTTGAAATTTTTCAAAATTATAAACAAGGAAATTTTGTACATTTTCCGGTGAAAACACAGTTTTTTGTGCCTGCAGTTTGCGCTGTTTCTTCAGGAAAAATCGGAAAAAAATATTGCAAATTTAAAAAACGAAAAACTATAAAGGCGAAGAAATAAAAATTCAGAAGTTGAAAAATCAAAAATTTAATTAGAAAGCGGAAAATAAGGAAAGTCGAAAAATTAAACAAACGAAAATTTGCAAATTTAAAAATTGGAGAAACAAGATATTGGATAATAGGAAAATTCAAAAGCTGAAACCAAAAATTTTCAAATTTAAATTGTAAAATTGAAAAATTAAACTCGAAAAATGAAAAGGAAACAAAAAATTAGGAATCAAAAAATAAAAAAGTGGGAACTGAAAAGTCGAAAAAATGATAAAACGGAAAATTGAAAAACTGCAAATGGAAAAATCAAAATTTAAAAATAGGAAACAATTGAAAAATCGATACATTCAAAGCGAAAGAAAAATCGTGAATTTAAAAAATACAAAGATTGGATAATTGAAAAATTAAAATGTAATACGAAAATTTGCAAATTGAAAAATTACCAAATCAATTGGAAACACGAAAAATTCAAAGAGAAGAAAAAATGAAAAAATATTGCATCGAAAAATTGCAAATTTAAAAATTGAAGAAACAGAAAATTTGATAATTGAAAAATTCAAAATTCAAAAATTTCAAATGTAAAATGTTGCAAATTTTCAAATGGATAAACTGCCAAAGCAAAAAATTGAAGGAACGAAAAATCGAATAATTGACAAGTAAAAAGTCAAAAAAATCAAAAAAACTGAAAAATTAGAAACCCAAAAAAAAAAACCGGAACTGAAGAATTGAAACATTGAAAAAACAAAAAATCTAAAAATCAAAAAATTGCAAATTGACAAATTGGAAAAGAAAATATAAAATCGAAAAATTGCCAAATCAAAAAATTGAAGAAACGAAAAATTGAAAAATTAAAAATCAAAAATTAAAAAATAACAAAAAATTTGAAATAAAAAAAAACACGGGGAACTGAAAAGTCAAAAAAATTGAACAATCGAAGAATTGATGACACGAAGAACTGCAAAATCGTAGGATCGAAAAATTCTAAATTTAAAAATCGAACAAACAAAAAATTGGATAACTGAAAAATTCAAATATTTTTAAAATTGAAACGTAAAATATCGAAAAATTTTAAACTGATAAATTGTCAAATTAAAAAACTAAATAAACAAAATATACAATAATTGAAATTTAAAAAGTGGAAAGATAAAAAAACTAAAAAATTAGAAATCAAAAAATTAAAATCCGGGAACTGAACAATCGAAGATCGAAGAATTGAAAAAACAAAATGTGAAAAATCGATAAATTGAAAGAGAAAGAAAAATTGAAAAATTGTACGATCGAAAAATTGCTAATTTAAAAATCGAAGAAACAAAAAATTAGATAATGGAAAAATTCAAAAGTTGGAAAACCAAAAATTTAGAATGTGTAAAATCTCGAAAAATTGAAGGATCGAAAAATCGAATAATTGAAAAATAAAAAATCCAGAAATTAAAAAACTGAAAAATTAGAAATGGAAAAATAAAATTTCAGCAACTGAACAATAATGGAATAATTTAAAAAACGAAAATTTGCAATTCCAAAAATTGAAGAAAAGAAAAATTGGAAAAATAAAAAGCGAAAAATTAAAAAAAGCAAAAAATCAGAAACCGAAAAATAAAAAAGGGGGAACTGAAAAGTCGAAAAATTGAATAATAAAAAAAACTGATACAACGAAAAACTGCAAAATTTGAAAATACGAAAAATTAAAAAATCGATAAATTGAAAGAAAAATTGAAAAATTGTAGTCAAAAAATTGCAAATTTAAAAATCGAAAAAACAAAAAGTTGGATAATTGAAAAATTCAAAAGTTGAAAATCCAAAAATTTAAAAATATAAAACGTAAAATCTCGAAAAATTGCAAATTAAAAAATTGCCAAATCAAAAAATTGAAGAAACGAAAAATTAAAAAATTAATAATGGGAACTGAAAAGTCGAAAAAATGAACAATCCAAAAATTGATAAAACGAAAAATCGAAAAAACAAAATTTGAAAATACGAAAAATTTAAAACTCGATAAATTGAAAGGGAAAGAAAAATTGAAAAATTAAGTATCGAAAAAAATTGAAAAACGGAAAATTGTCAATACAAAAATTTAAGAGAGAAAAATTGAAAAACTAAAAAGCGAAAAATAAAAACAAAACAAAAATTTAGAAATCACAAAATTAAAAAGGAGAACTGAAAAATCGGAAAAATGAACAATCGAAGAATTGATAAACAGAAAAGTAGAAAAATCGAAAAAATAAAATTTAAAAATACGAAAAATTAAAAAATCCATGAATTAAAAGAAAAAGAAAAATTGAAAAATTAAAAATTGAAAAAAGTTGATAAACTGAAAAATCTAAAATTAGAAAAACAGAAAATTGGAAATCCAAAAATAGAAGAAAAAAAAATCGAAAAATTAAAACGGGAAAAATAAAAAAAAACAATTGGAAATCGAAAAATACAAAAGTCAAAAAATAAACAATCGAAGAATTGATTGAATGAAAAACTACAAAATCGATAAATCAAAATTCAAAAATTGTAGGATCAAAAAATTGAAAATTCAAAAATTGGAAAGTCTTAAATTTAATTTAAAAATGTAAAACCTCCAAAAATTGCAAATTTATAAATTGCAAATCAAAAAATTGAATGAAAAATAAAAAATCAAAAAATTTAAAAAACTGAAAACTTAGAAATCGAAAAATAAAAAATCCGAGAACTGAACAATAAAAAAAAACCTAAAAATCAAAAATTGCAAATTGAAAAATTGAAAAATCGATAAATTGAAAGACAAAGAAAAATGAAAACTTTGAAAAATTGCAAATTTAAAAATTAAATAATCAAAGATTTAAAAATTTGAAATGTAATATTGCGAAAAATTGCGAATTATTGAATTGAAGAAACGAAAAATCCAACAATTGAAAACAAAAAAATTGAAAAATTAAAAAACTGTAAAATTAAAAATCGGAAAATAAGAAACTGTGAACCGACCAATCGAAAAATTGGAAAAACCAAAAATCTAAAAATCAAAAGTGCAATTCAAAAAACTCGAAAAATTGAGATTTGAAAATAAAAAAAACTGAAAAATCGATAAATTAAAAGACATGGAAAAATTGAAAAATTTTAGGATCGAAAAATTGCAAATTTAAAAATCGAAGAAACAAAAAATTGGATTGAATTTTAAAATTTGAGAAGTCAAAAAACTGAAAATCGAAAAATTGAACAAACAGAAAATTAAAAAATCAAAAAATTAAATATCGGGAAACCTTGAAAAACTGAAAAATCAACAATTGAAGAAACGAGAAATTGAAGAAATAGATAAACATTAAATTGAAATACAGAAAACGGAAAATCGAAAAATTGTAAAATTCAGAAGCTAAAAACCAAAAAAAACTCAATAATTTTAAAATTTAGAAACCGATAAATCGAAAAATTAAAAAACCGAAAAATTGAAGTTTTGGGAAGCTGAAAAATTTAAAACACGAAAAATTGAAATCTCTAAAAATTGAAAAATTTATTTATTATAAAATTGAAAAATTGAAGAAAAATTGAAAAACCTAAAAATTAAAAATAGAGAAACTTGAAAAGCCAAAATAATTTATAAAAAATTGAAAAATTGAAAAAAAATAATTGAAAGTTCCTAAGATTGAAAAATCAAAAACTCAAAAATTTAAAAACGCGGAAAATTGCAAGTCTTAAATGGCAAAATCGAAAAATGAAAGAAACGAAAAATTATAAATTCGAAAAAACGAAAATCGATAATTGTACAATTCAAAAAGTAAATTAAAATATCTATAAATTGAAAAACTGAAACATTGTAACTCGAAAAATTGAGGAACGATAAAGTTAAAAAATTAAAAAGTTGTTAAGTCGAGAAATGAAAGAAACAAAAATTGAAAAATCGAAAAGTTGAAAAAACGAGAACTTGAAAAATCAAAAACTAAAACATGAAAAATCGTAAATTTAAAAATTAAAAAATAAGAGAAATGGAAAACTCGAAAAATTGTAGTTCGAAAAATGATGAAATCGAAAGGGTAAAATCAAAGAATTGAAAAAATCGAAAAACGAAAAATTATGTAATTGTAAAATTCGAACGCTAAAAAATAGAAAAATGAAAAGTTTTTAATTTGAAAACTCGAAAAACTGCAAATCGGAAAATCAACAAACGAAAAAACGAAAAATTGAAAAATGGAAAACTTGCTGATCAAAAAATTTAGAAATGAAAGTTAGGAATGGAGAAACGAAAAACTCAATAATCGTAAAATTCGAACGCTAAAAAATAATTAAAATTAAAATTTTAAATTTGGAAACTCAAAAAATTGTAAATCGAAGAATTGTAAAATCAGAAAAAACTACAACGCAAAATTGCAGAAATTGAAAAATCGAAGAGCGAGAAAACAAAAAATTGAAAAATCGAAAAATTGTAAATCCAGAAACTGAAAATTAAAACTGGACAAATCGAAAAATAAAAATTGAAAAACCGGGACTTTCTAGAATTGAAAAATTGCAATTGAAAACAATGGAAGAAATGAAAAATTGAAAAAAACAACAATTAAATAATCAAAAAATTTAAAATGTCTAAAAATTGAAAAATCCAAAATGAAGATGTCAAAAAATTGACATAACGAAAAGTTAAAAACAAAAAAAATGTAGACACGAAAACTTGAGAAATTGAAAAATTTAAGATGGTGAGACTGAAAAGTCAAAAAATGAAAATTGAAAAATCGAAACTTCCTATAATTTAAAAATTGCAAATTACTGTAAAAAATTGGAGAAACGGTAAATAGAAAAAACTAAAAATTAAATAATCAAAAAATTGAAAATTCGAAAAATTAGAAATAGAGAACTGAAAAGACGGAAAATTAAAAAATCCAAAAATTAAAATGTCTAAAAATTGGAACATCAAAAGACTGAAATAACGAAAAACTGAATTGCGAAAAAATAAAATATCGAAAAATTGCAAATTCAAAAATTGGTACTAAAAAGTAGGAAAATTGAAAAAAAAATTGTAAAATTGAAGAAAAATGAAAATCTGAAAACATAAAACACAAAAACCTAAAATATATAGTGGGTCTCCAATCCCGACTGCCTGCCAGTACCACCCCTACTCACGGAGGGCTCACACCATTTCTATTCAGGGACATTGCTGTATCTTTGGTGGAAAGCAGCAACTTGCTCCTCTTAGCTTACAACCGCACCCTCGACACCGGCAACGAGACCCTCACCCTGGCCGATTTCGTTAAGATAAAGTACGACACCAGGTGGGAGTGCAAGGTCTCGGCGGCCCCCTTCCAGAGGAAACCCTACCCCTCGTGCTTCAACGAAGTCAAAATCAACGTATTATACTCCCACAAACACCCTCGACCAGTTCTCACCCCCTGCTTTCAGGAATCCGAGATACTCACCTGCGCCGCCCCCCGCCTTTCCCTCCCCCTCCTCCTCCCGCTCGCGGTCCTCGTCGGGCGCCTCTAACGCTACAGCCCCCTCCAACGGCTCTTTCTGTTTAGCCCCTCCACCATCTGTCCGACCTGGTGCGCTGGGCGTCGGCCACGCTCTTCTACCTCCTGAGGACGGTCTCCGGCAGCGACCCCGACTCCATGGCGTACCCCGACGAGGAGCACGAGATGCACAACCTCGACGAGCAGGACTCGGAGGCCGAGGCCACGGAGCAGCCGTCCAGGTTCAGCGAGAAGGAGTTCGACCAGCGGGTGATTATCAAGAAGACGAAGCCGGAGTGCTGCGACTTCGAGATGTGGTACTATAGGCTGGTGCACTACTCGGACCGGAACATCTCGAACAGCGGGTACAACAAGGTGATGACGGACGACTGCACCAGGCCGTTTATCGTGCAGAAGGTGTTTAGCAGTAACATGATTCTGCTGGTGTTGAACAGCGTGTGCTGGGAGAAGGGCCCCACGGTGGCGAAGATGCCGGATCCGGTCCAGGTGGACTATAACATGTCGTTCGCGTGTTATAGGGAGTTGTACAACAACTACACGAGGCGGCATTACATGAGCTGCATCAACAGGAACGCGAATGTGAGTAAAAGTTAATTAACTCGAAATCAAAAAATACATTGACGCATTTTGACGATTTTTTGGAAAAATTTTGACAATTGTAAAGTCGTAATTCCTAGTTTTTTTGACGAAATTTCTTTACGAAAATTTCGGTTAATTGGAAGAATATTTGCTTTGTGGTTGTAGATCTTCTCCGTTGATTATGTCGTTTTTGACGAATTTTTGGGAAATTTTTGAAAATCGTAAACTTTGTAGAAATTTAGGCAGAACAATTTAAGATTTGTGATTTGTGGGAGATTAACTATACTATAGCGTCTTCTTCAGGTTCATTAAGTTTCGAAAATGTCAAAAATTCGCCGAAATTTGAAAAAATTTCCCTTTTTAAAAAAATTGTCTAAAAATTGCGAAAAAATTCAGGGACGTAGATCTCGACATGCTGATTCCAAAAATAGAGCATTTCGATGGTCACTGAGCAACATTTTCGCAATAATCGGTACGAAATGCGAATTTTTGAAAATTTCTAATAATTTCGATTTTTCAACGGTCGATTCTGGAAAAACGGTTGCATTGACCAAAGAAACGATGCCGCAAGTGGGTTCTAGAGCTCGAAATCTACAAGAAAACGTGTTTAGTTAAGTTTCGAAAATGTCAAAAATTGGCCGAAATTTGAAGAAGGGGGGACCACTGGAAAAATTTCGCTTTTAAAACAGTTGTCTAAAAATTGCGAAAAAATTCAGGAACGTAGATCTCGACATGCTGATTCCAAAAATATAGCATTTTGATGGTCACTGAGCAACATTTTCGAAATAATCGGTACGAAATGCGAATTTTTGAAAATTTCTAAAAATTTCGATTTTTCAATGGTCGATTCCGGAAAAACGGTTATAGTTATCGAAGAAACGATGCCGGAAGTGAGTTCTAGAGCTCGAAATTTACAAGAAAATGTGTTTAGTTAAGTTACAAAAATGTCAAAAATCGGCCGAAATTTGAAGAAGGGAGGACCATTGGAAAAATTTCCCTTTTTAAAAAAGTTGTCTAAAAATTGCTAAAAAATTCAGAGATGTGGATCTCGACATGCTGATTCAAAAAATAGAGCATATTGATGGTCACCGAGCAACATTTTCGAAATAATGGGTACGAAATGCGAATTTTTGAAAATTTCTGAAAATTTCGATTTTTCAACGTTCGATTCCGGAAAAACGGTTGCAGTTATCAAAGAAACGAGGCCCGAACTGAGTTCTAGAGCTCTAAATCTACAAGAAAATGTATTTGGCTAAGTTTCGAAAATGTCAAAAATTGACCGAAATTTGAAGAAATGGGGACCATTGGAAAAACTACACTTTTTAAAAAAGTTGTCTAAAAATTGCGAAAAAATTCAGGGACGTAGATCTCGACATGCTGATTCCGAAAACATAGCATTTTGATGGTCACTGAGCAACATTTTCGAAATAATCGGTACGAAATGCGAATTTTTGAAAATTTCTAATAATTTCGATTTTTCAACGGTCGATTCCGGAAAAGCGGTTACAGTTATCAAAGAAATGATGCCGCAAGTGAGTTCTAGAGCTCGAAATCTACAAGAAAATGTGTTTAGTTGAGTTTCGAAAATGTCAAAAATTGGCCGAAATTTGAAGAAATTTCAGTTTTAAAAAAGTTGTCAAAAAATTGCAAAAAAATCCAGGGACGTTGATCTCGACATCCTGATTCCAAAAATATAGTGTGTTGATGGTCACGGAGCAACATTTTTGAAGGAATCGATAGGAAATACGAATTTTTGAAAGTTTCTAAAAATTTCGATATTTCAATGGTCGATTCCGGAAAAACGGTTGCACTTATCAAAGAAACGATGCCGGAAGTGAGTTCTAGAGCTCGAAATCTACAAGAAAATGTGTTTAGTTGAGTTTCGAAAATGTCAAAAATTGGCCGTAATTTGAAGAAGGTGGGACCATTGGAAAAATTTGAGTTTTAACAAAGTTGTCTAAAAATTGGAAAAAAATTCAGCGACCTAGATCTCGGCATGCTGATTCCAAAAATATAGCGTGTTGTTAGTCACGGAGCAACAGTTTCGAAAGAATCTCTATAAAATGCGAATTTTTGAAAATTTCTAAAAATTTCAATATTTCGACGGTCGATTCCGGAAAAACGGTTACAGTTATCAAAGAAACGAGGCCTGAAATGAGTTCTAGAGCTCTAAATCTACAAGAAAATGTATTTGGTTAAGTTTCGAAAATGTCAAAAATTGACCAAAATTTGAAGAAGGGGGGACCATTGGATAAATTTCCGTTTTTAAAAAAGTTGTCTAAAAATTGCGAAAAAATTCAGCGACGTAGATCTCGACATGCTATTTCAAAAATATATATCATTTTGATGGTCACTGAGCAACATTTTCGAAATAATCGGTACGAAATGCGAATTTTTGAAGATTTCTAAAAACTTCGATATTTCAACGGTCGATTCTGGAAAAACGGTCGCAGTTATCACAGAAACGATGCCGGAAGTGAGTTCTAGAGCTCGAAATCTACAAGAAAATGTGTTTAGTTGAGTTTCGAAAATGTCAAAAATTGGCCAAAATTTGAAGAAGGGAGGACCATTGGAAAAATTTCCCTTTTTAAAAAAGTTGACTAAAAATTGCGGAAAAATCCAGGGACGTAGATCTCGACATGCTGATTCCAAAAATATAGCGTGTTGATGGTCACGGTGCAACATTTTCGAAGGAATCGGCGAGAAAACGAATTTTTGAAAATTTCTATAAATTTCGATATTTCAACGTTTGATTCTGGAAAAACGGTTGCACTGATCAAAGAAACGATGCCGGAAGTGAGTTCTAGAGCTCGAAATCTATAAGAAAATATGTTTAGTTAAGTTTCGAAAATGTCAAAAATTGGCCGAAATTTGAAGAAGGGCGGACCATTGGAAAAATTTTCCTTTTTAAAAAAGTTGTCTAAAAATTGCGAAAAAAATCAGGAACGTAGATCTCGACATGCTAATTCCAAAAATATAGCATTTTGATGGTCACTGAGCAACATTTTCGAAATAATCGGTACGAAATGAGAATTTTTGAAAATTTCTAAAAATTTCGATTTTTCAACGGTCGATTCCGGAAAAACGGTTGAAGTTATCAAAGAAACGAGGCCCGAAGTGAGTTCTAGAGCTCGGAATCTACAAGAAAATGTGTTTAGTTGAGTTTCGAAAATGCCAAAAATTGGCCGAAATTTGAAGAAGGGGGGACCATTGGAAAAATTTCGCTTTTAAAAAAGTTGTCTAAAAATTGCGAAAAAATTCAGGGACGTAGATCTCGACATGCTGATTCCAAAAATATAGCATTTTGATGGTCACTGTGCAAAATTTTCGAAATAATCGGTATGAAATGCGAATTTTTGAAAATTTCTAAAAATTTCAATATTTCAACGGTCGATTCCGGAAAAACGGTTACAGTTATCAAAGAAACGATGCCGGAAGTAAGTTCTAGAGCTCGAAATCTACAAGAAAATGTGTTTAGTTAAGTTTCGAAAATGTCAAAAATTGGCCGAAATTCGAAGAAGAGGGGACCATTGGAAAAATTTCCCTTTTTAAAAAAGTTGTCTAAAAGTTGTAAAAAAATTCAGGGACGTAGATCTCGACATGCTGATTCCAAAAATATAGCATTTTGATGGTCACTGTGCAAAATTTTCGAAATAATCGGTACGAAATGCGAATTTTTGAAAATTTCTAAAAATTTCGATATTTCAACGGTCGATTCTGGAAAAACGGTTGCACTTATCTAAGAAACGATGCCGGAAGTGAGTTCTAGAGCTCGAAATCTACAAGAAACTCTGTTTAGTTGAGTTTCGAAAAATGTCAAAAACTGACCGAAATTTGAAGAAGGGGGGACCATTGGAAAATTTTCCCTTTTTAAAAAAGTTGTCTAAAAATTGCGAAAAAATTCAGGGACGTAGATCTCGACATGCTGATTCCAAAAATATAGCATTTTGATGGTCACTGTGCAAAATTTTCGAAATAATCGGTACGAAATGTGAATTTTTGAAAATTTCTAAAAATTTCGATATTTCAACGGTCGATTCCGGAAAAACGGTTACAGTTATCAAAGAAACGATGCCGGAAGTAAGTTCTAGAGCTCGAAATCTACAAGAAAATGTGTTTAGTTAAGTTTCGAAAATGTCAAAAATTGGCCGAAATTTGAAGAAGAGGGGACCATGGGAAAAATTTCCCTTTTTAAAAAAGTTGTCTTAAAATTGCGAAAAAATTCAGGGACGTAGATCTCGCCATGCTGATTCCAAAAATATAGCATTTTGATGGTCACTGAGCAACATTTTCGAAATAATCGTTACGAAATGCGAATTTTTGAAAATTTCTAAAAATTTCGATATTTCAACGGTCGATTCCGGAAAAACGGTTACAGTTATCAAAGAAACGATGCCGGAAGTAAGTTCTAGAGCTCGAAATCTACAAGAAAATGTGTTTAGTTAAGTTTCGAAAATGTCAAAAATTGGCCGAAATTTGAAGAAGGGGGGACCATTGGAAAAATTTCCCTTTTTAAAAAAGTTGTTTAAAAATTGCGAAAAAATTCAGGGACGTAGATCTCGACATGCTGATTCCAAAAATATAGCATTTTGATGGTCACTGTGCAAAATTTTCGAAATAATCGTTTCGAAATGCGAATTTTTGAAAATTTCTAAAAATTTCGATATTTCAACGGTCGATTCCGGAAGAACGGTTACAGTTATCAAAGAAACGATGCCGGAAGTAAGTTCTAGAGCTCGAAATCTACAAGAAAATGTGTTTAGTTAAGTTTCGAAAATGTCAAAAATTGGCCGAAATTTGAAGAAGGGGGGACCATTGGAAAAATTTCCCTTTTTAAAAAAGTCGTCTAAAAATTGCGAAAAAATTCAGGGACGTAGATCTCGACATGCTGATTCCGAAAATATAGCATTTTGATGGTCACTGAGCAACATTTTCGAAATAATCGGTACGAAATGCGAATTTTTGAAAGTTTCTAAAAATTTCGATTTTTCAACGGTCGA